ATACAAAATTAATTGAAGGCTCTGGAAGAGTAATTATAATATTACCCAAAAAAACAAAATTTGTTGTTAGTGATGCTTTATATTCCTCTAAGTCTCAAAGAAATTTATTAAGTTTTAAAGATATTCGCCAAATTGGATATCTTGTTGAGACTATAAATGAGAAGAACATTGAATATCTGCATGTTACAATGGTAAGAAATGGAGAAAAATGTGTCATGAAAAAATTACCAACATTATCTTCTAGTTTATACTATACAAATATTAGTACAATTGAAACAAATGTTACAGTAAACTAGAAATTTACTGATAAAGATACATTTATTGTTTGGCATGATTGCTTAGGCCATCCCGATCAACTATGATGCGAAGAATTATTGAAAATTCACATAGACACCCATTGAAGAGCCAAAAGATTCTTCAATTTAAAGATTTTTTATGTGCTACTTGTTCTCAAGGTAAAGTAGTTATAAGGCCTTTATTGACAAAATTAGGAGTTGAATCTCCTGCATTTCTAGAGCGTATCCAAGGAGATATATATGGACCTATCCATCTACCATGTAGACCATTTAAATATTTTGTGGTTTTAATAGATGCATCTACAAGATGGTCCCATGTGTGTTTGTTATCAACACGTAATTTAATATTTGCTAGATTACTTGCTCAAATGATTCGATTAGGAGCACAATTTTCAGACCATGCAAGTAGACAATTCATCTTGATAATGCTAGTGAGTTTTCATCTCAAGTTTTTAATGATTATTGCATGGCAACTAGAATAACGGTGAAAAATCTGTTGCTTATGTTCACACTCAAAATGGCCTAGCAGAGTCATTCATTAAACGCCTCCAATTGACTGCTAGACCAATGCTTTTGAGAACAAAACTTCTCCTTTCATCTTGGGGACATACAATTCTGCATGCAGCAGCAATTATACGCATCAGGCCAACAAATTATCATGAATTCTCCCCGTTACAATTGACTTTTGGTCGAGAGCCAAATATTTCTCATCTTAGAATTTTTGAATGTGCAGTATTTGTACCTATTCCTTCACCACAACGTACAAGGATGGGACCTCAAAGAAGGTTAGGGATATATGTTAGCTATGAATTTCCTACTATAATTAAGTATTTAAAACCATTAACAGGAGATTTGTTTATGACACGTCTTGATTATTGTCATTTTGATGAGTCAATTTTCCCAATATTAGGGGGGAGATAATAAACAGCTGCGTAAAGAAATTACATGGAAAGCATTATCATTATCTCATTTAGATCCTCGTACACAACAATGTGAACTTGAAGTTCAAAGAATACTTCATTTACAAAACATTGCAAATCAACTGCCAAATATATTTACTGATCCTAAGAGAATTACTAAATCTTACATTCTAGCTGAAAATGCTCTAATTAGAATTGATGTCCCAGTAGGACAATAAGAAAGCGCAAGTGAAACCAAACCACGCCTAAAGCAGAGTAGACCAATTGGTTCCAAAAATAAAACCCTTAGAAAGAAAAAAAGGAGCAAATAATCATGATGGTCATGATAGTCAAATTGAGGCAAGTTCTATAGGAGAGGACCTAAACATAACTAATCAAAAGACCTCAAAGGAAGCTCAGGTACCTGAAAATAATGAAGAGATCTCGATAAGTTATGTTACTATAGGAAAAAGATGAAACCGAGAGAACACAGTTGTTGACAATATTTGTTCATATAATGTTGCCGTTGAAATAATTAATCAACATAAAGATCTTAAACCTACATCAGTTGAAAAATGTAGATATAGAGATGATTGGCCAAAATGGAAAGACGCAATTCAAGCAGAGTTAAATTCACTTTCAAAACGTGAAGTTTTTGGACCTGTAGTCCATATACCAGATGGTGTAAAACCAGTTGGATACAGATGGGTCTTTGTGTGCAAATGAAATGAGAACAATGAGAATGTTAGATATAAAGTAAGGCATGTAACACAAGGGTTTTCACAAAGACCTTATATTGATTATGAAGAGACATATTCTCCTATGGTGGATGCAATCACTTTAAGACATAATTAGTTTGGCAGTCCATAGAAAACTTGAAATGCATCTAATGGATGTTGTTACGGCATATTTGTATGGTTCTTTAGATACTGAGATTTATATGAAAATCCCTGAAGGGTTTAAATTGCCAGAAGCATGTAAGAATTCTTGAGAAAATTATGCAATTCGTTTGTAAAAATCCTTATATGGATTGAAACAATCTGGAAGAATGTGGTATAACCGACTTAGTGAATATTTATTGAGAGAAAGTTATAAAAATGATTCAATTTGCCCATGTATTTTTATTAAAAAAATGGATCAGAGTTTGTTATGTAGATGATTTAAATACAATTGAAACTCTCGAATAGCTTCAAAAAGCAGTTGATTGTTTAAAGAAAAAATTTGAAATGAAAGGTCTTAGAAGAACAAAATTTTGCCTTGCCTTGCAAATTAAGCACTTAGCAAATGGAATTTTCCTCCATCAATAAATTTATACTGAAAAAGTATTAAAGTGATTTTATATGGATAACGCACATCCATTATCTACTCCTGTGGTTGTAAGATCACTGGACAAGGATAAAGATCCATTTTGCCCTCAAGAAGATGATGAAAAACTTCTTCGTCTTGAAGTATCATATCTTAGTACCATAGGTGCATTAATGTATCTTGCTAATTCAACATGACATGATATTGCATTTGCTCTTAGTTTATTGACAAGATTTAGTTCTTCCCAACAAGAAGGCATTTTAATGGAATTAAGTATATATTTCGATATCTCCGAGAGACAATTAATATGGGATTATTTTAATTTGGTGAATTAGAATCACAATTAATTGGCTATGCAAATACAGGATTTCTGTCAGACCCACATAAAGACAAGTCTCAAACAGGATATTTATTTATTTGTTGAGGTACAACGATCTCATGGCATTCAACAAAACAAACTTTATCAGTTACTTCATCAAATCATGCGGAAATAATTACAATTCATGAGGCAAGTCAAGAATGTGTTTGGTTGAGGTCAGTGACTTAACATATTCAGAAAAGGGTGGTTTTCCCCTTGAATAGAAGATTCCAATAGTATTATATGAAGACAATACAGCATGCATAGCTCAATTAAATGGGGGATATATCAAAGGAGATAGAATAAAACATATTTCTCCAAAGTTCTTTTTCACTCGTGATCTTTTAAAAAGTGGCGATATAGATGTTCAACCAATTCTTTCATGTGACAACCTTACTGATTTGTTTACCAAGACACTGCCAACTAGAACATTTGAGAAGTTAGTATATGGTATTGGAACATGCAAACTTAAAGAATTAAAATGATGTTATCATTAGGAGGAGTAAATATTATATACTCTTTTTCCTTTATTAGGTTTTTGTCCCAATGGGCTTTTCCTAATAAGGTTTTAATGAGGCACAATACTTATTATGGATATTCAAGGGGGAGTATTATGCATATTGTATAAGTGGATGTCCATAACCCCTAACCCTTAGAATTCTCATAGGAATTATTACCTTCAATTGTAATAAACTACATAACTTCCTAATGAATGACTTGAGAGGAGTTTCTCATTGTTAATGCCATTATGCTATTCTTTATTCCTTTATAACCTTAGTATAGGACTTCAATACTTGGAGGCCTATAAATAGAAGGTATCCATAAGCATTTGCACAATGAAACAAAATGAATGAGAAAAAGGCTATTGTCTTTTCTATCTCTTGCTCCCTTTTCTACTCTCAAATCTCTTCATTTCTTGTAGTTTTACAACAAAAAACCGAATAAAAATGGAATTAATTTTTTCCTTAAAGAATAAGATGAAACGACGTGCCGTGTTAGATGACATTTGAGGATAAGATTACAATGCAAAAAACAAATAAACAATCCAAACAGCGAAGCGTGCTGCATGGTGCTCTTATCCCGTTGGGCTTCCTACCATGCCAACTCTGCCGCCGCCACCTGTGAAGGGCCCTTCGTTTTATTTTTTTTTGGGGTAAGGAACGAAAATGGTACTCCCTCACAAATCATATCAAAGCTTAAATCTCGGGCGCCTATATTTGATTTCTAGCAGTACCTGAATATTAAAAAAAAAAAAGTGACATATACTTATTAGGAATCTAGCTAACTTACCAAATCTAACTAATTTAGGTAAATCAAAAAAACTAAATATGAGTTGCTTAATTTTATCAAAGATGAAAATATTACTCCCTCCTTTCTTTATTATAAGTAATAATGATTACTTTTACTTTATCATTAAAGATAAACAATATTTGTGAGTTGTCTTAAATTTTTATAGTAAATTTTTTCTTTTGCCTCTATTAAAGACTTATTTTAATAATTAATATATATTTTTTGTTTCCCAAAATATCATTTTCTAGATAATAAATGTTCTAAAGATTATATTTTAATATAATCCCTCTTTATAATACATTCTCTTTCTTTTATAATTTTATTTGTTATAATAATTTTTTTTATTTTCCCCTTATATTCCCTCTTTTCCATTAATAAGAGTATTAAAAAAAATTCAATTTTTATATATTTATTGTTTTTAATTAATTTTAACTAACTTTTTAATCTGTGTGATTTAATTCGAGATTACTTATAAACAGGGAGAAGGAGTATATTTCTAAAATACTATCTTTAATCCTTAATATAAGAACTAATTGAGTAATTTGAATAAATTAAGAAAATTAATTTAGTTAGTTATTTATAATAAGTAGTTATTGTTTTCCTTGAAATACTATTACTAATCATGTGTATTAGTTAGAACTAATATTTAATATGTGTAATTACTATAAAAGTTACTTTGAAAAAAATAAATAAATATGAGAGACAAAATGGATTAGATTTTACATTTAATATCAAATTGAATGTCAAATTAAGTCTTATATTAAGGACGTGTGGTATCAATAAGTTAAATAAATTATTTTAAAATAAATAAAAATTATTTATTTTATATTATGTAATGATGTATCGCTCGTACTGCTGATTTCTGCAGAATCGTGACCCTCCCCGCTCCAGCCATTCACGCCATCACCGGAAAACAGAGTGATTTGACGACACATATTATCATCACAGAAAAGTTACTAACATCAAATCAAAGATGAAGATTATGGTGGCAATCAAGCGAGTAGTAGATTACGCCGTCAAAATCAGAGTCAAACCCGACAAGGTGCGACCTAGAATTGCCTCTCAATGACGTAAAATCGGTTTACATTTCAGAATGTCACAATTTTTTTAGTTGTAAAACGAAGCGATGTTGCAGACAGGTGTGGAGACGCAGAACGTGAAGATGTCGATGAACCCTTTCTGCGAGATCGCGCTCGAAGAAGCTCTTCGGATTAAGGAGGCTAAACTGGCCTCGGAGGTCGTGGCGGTAAGTATGGGGCCCTCTCAGTGTATGGATACGTTGAGAACGGGTCTTGCGATGGGTGCAGATAGGGGCATTCATGTGGAGTTCAACGAAACTCTTTACCCACTTTCTGTGGCTAAGATTTTAAGGTCGCTTGTGGAGGTTGAAAAACCTGGACTTCTAATTCTTGGTAAACAGGTACTACCTTTGTGTTTTGAGATGATGAAATTCTTGAAAATTTCTGGGCTGTTTATAAACCGTTGTTACATGCTGTTGAGGATTATGAATTTAAGGGAAAAGCAAACTTCTATTCTTCTATTTTTTATTTGACTATATACCATGCCGCAATTTTCTAAAAAGTTTTAATGTTATCCTAATGAATTAAAGGGGGAAATATTCTTCTAGTTGCTGAATATACTTATGGAAGCAGGAATACGTAGACAATTTTGCCTTCTGTGCTCTAAATATACAGTGATACCTTCTATGCTCTAAATGTATACTTGAAAAATTATAAATGGCTGGTGTTTGATATCTGACTCTAATGAGAACATTTAGATGATTGTCTGACATCCTTTCTTCTTTTTCTTGTACTGCTTGCAGGCCATTGATGATGATTGCAATCAAACAGGGCAGATGATAGCAGGCCTCCTCAACTGGCCACAAGGCACTTTTGCTTCGAAGGTTTGTCCATCTTCATGATGTTTGATAAAGTTGTTCCTTGTCCCCCCTTCAGGCCAGAGTTCCTTGTTCATCACTGACACTTTTATATGCCATGATTTGCTTGAGTGACGTAAATGTATTGGACGGTGCATATTTGTGTTCATATAAGCTATTGTTTTATTCATCATCCCTCTGTTTATCCCACGGGAGTATTTTGTTTGAAGACCAGTTGCGACAATGGATTTCTCTGAACCTCCAATCCGATTTATTGAGTTAGCAAATGTTTTCTCTCTGTTTCCTACTTTACATGTGAATATCCCTCCTTATTTTATTAGGAATAAGGCTACTGAAGCCTCTGAAAAATCATTAAACATGTATCGTTGATTGTGATTTTTAGAGCTTAGATCAAGGAGCACAAGCGTTAAGTTGGATACAAAGCTAGGAAGTTGGATCTTCTCTAACAAGGACGTGTGTGTATGCCATTTCTTTCATATGCCATTGGTTGCAATGACTTGGTAAAAATCAATAACTTGAAAAACTGGCGCCCTTGTGAAAATATGCACTCTCCATCTGACTAGATGGGTTTGTTATTTTTTGTTCAATACAATGTTGATCTTTATACTTATTCATCTTATATCTGTCATTTTGTCATTATTTTTACAATATTTATCTGTCAAACTCTGAAGTATTCCAGAGCATTTTTGTCATTGTTGCATCTTTCTAGTCCAAAATTTCCTGGCAACATGTTAGCAGCTGAGTAATGAGCTTAGTCTGAGCTATTGGAATGAATTCTGTGTGTTAATCATTTTGCTTCTACGGTAAAATATAGGTCAGCCTTCTAGATTTGAGATTGAAAGATGTAATTTTCGAATGATTTATTAGGATATTCATACGGATTTTTTTTGGTTCAGTCTTCAATAAGTTGTGCTATGCTTCAGCAATTTTGTTAGAGAAGATACACACTAACACTCTAAAAAGTGTAGTTCAAACACATACTCAGTTGTCTGATTTATGCTAAAATATTTAATTCCCAGATATCTTGTATCAGAAAGAATTTAGCTGTGCCTCTCATGCAGATTTTTCTTCTGTGCCTTTATGGTGATTTATTAAGTTATTTGACACGTAATTGAACTATTTTGTTACTGACTGCTGCTTCCCAGTAGGTTATCCTTGATAAGGAGAAACAGGTAGCTACGGTGGACAGAGAGGTAGATGATGGTATTGAGACCCTCTCTTTGAATTTACCAGCAGTAATCACGTAAGTGTTCACGTTTTTTTTTTTTTCACTTTTTAAGTATGTTGCATCACAATCATACAGGTTGTTGAAATGCTTTGTCCTTTTCATCTTCCCTCTCTTTGGTGCATTTGTGTGTGCCTTGGCGACCTAAGATGCATCTCTTTTAATTTTTATCTTGTTTTTAATTTATTTATTGGATAAAATTCAAATATCTATTCAATCCTTAACAGAACTGAAGTCTTGAAGGGCTTCTGAATCTTTTTTACTGTATCATTCAGTCTTTAAGTGAGATGTAGTGCGTTACTGGACAGTAGTGAATGCATGCGTGTCTATATCAATGCTTTTTTCCTTCTGTGTTGTTGGTTTTGCAGTTATCCTCTTTTCTGGTTTCTGCAAAGTTATTACATGATGCATTTCTTGTTTAACATTGCAAATTAACACTGACATGTTCAAAGTGTAAGTCGTAGGTATGGTGACATGACAAAAAATCTGACACCTGTAATTCATTATATGTTATCTTTTTTATAGTGGCCTTAGCGAACAGACAAGAACTCTTCAACTCATCTGTAGTCTGACATCTGTAATTCATTACTTGGGCTTTCCACTGCTTTCCGCATTCCTCAGATGTGGAATTTTTTTTTTAGCAAAATTTAAATATGTACCATCATTTCTTTTGCATCCCAAGTAAGGCCGTTTATCAAAGGTTGTACCAAAGTAGATTTATCTAACTGGACCATGTTTTCAAAAGCCCCTGAAGTTAAAGTGACACTAAATGCCTGCGGGTTATCACCTGTGTATTATTTACACAATACTATTTTTCTAATATCTGTTCTCTGATATCACTAAGAAGATTCGAGTATTGTTAGGCTGAATTATAAACAGTCCACCCACCATAGTTGTTTTCCCCTATCCCTAAAATTTAAACCTTCAACTTTGTTTGGGGAGAATCAAATCCCCCTTCCACTTAGACTCAGCAGTGGCGCAATACTCATTTTTAAATGGTACAAGTCTCCTCAAAGTTTGCTGTGTCAAAGTGTTTGTGTGTGGTTCTTTCCAGTAATCTGCGTCAATGCTGTTAGTGTCTGTGCCGCGTAAGCCATTACTATTAATATTATAATTACAAATGGATATAATAACAGAATAGTACTGAAGTTAACAGTATGCTTTGTCTTTCTTGACATTTTTTCTCCATGCAGCACTGATCTGAGACTGAACCAGCCAAGGTATGCGACACTTCCCAATATAATGAAAGCGAAATCAAAGCCCATAAAGAAGTTCACTCCACAGGAGTTGAATGTGGAAATCAGATCTGATTTGGAGGTGCTTCAAGTTACAGAACCTCCCAAGAGAAAAGCCGGGATACTGGTTTCTTCTGTGGATGAACTGATTGACAAGCTAAAAAATGAAGCTAATGTCATCTGATAATTCTCTGCTTGTTAGCTTCAGCTCAGTTACTGCTTGTTGTAGCGTAAATACTAATCCATCATGCATTGAGACTTCAAAAAAATTGTGTTTTAACCTGATGTGTGGAATGCCCTTATTAGATGTGACATTTGATATTACATATGAATGCTTTAGGTTTTATTGTGATATGGTTGCGAAGATGATGATGAAAACAGATTATTAGCTGTAAAAGTTCAAATAAAGTTATCCTCTCTTTAAATGCTAGAAAGATACAAGTATCTGAGTTTGATCCCAAAAAAGGTACTGTTGGGAGGGTTGTGAGGCTCAAAGCAGTGATTTCTTCTTATGCGAGTAAGACCGTTGGTGTATTTATATGAAGCTCAAGATGATCCTTCACCGTTGGCCAAGACAAGAAGTTGTCCTTCGCAGCTTACGAACATTTTGCTCCTATCACTTGTTTGGTATCCTTGCAATGCGATATAGGCCATTATCGATGTATATATGATAGCATAGAAAAACGAGGGCTCAACATACTAAAGGCCCTTCTGAAAGAAAGGACAATTTTCTCAAAAAGGGGAATTGCGAAAAAATTTGTATTGAAAATTTTTCAAGTGAGGATGATTTGATAAATTTTCATGCGCAAAGCACAGATACTTTGTAAATTTTATACGCACATAATATTTATACTTTAGGTTATTCTTATTAATGAAACTTTTAAGGGGGGGTTTTCTCCAATTTTTCCCAAAAAAAAAAAAAGTGTACGAGCGCACTGGATTTTGCTTTGCTTTTTTTTTTTTTGGTTTTATGCTTTCTATTAGCTTTTTAAGTTGACTTTTCCTCTTTATCTTCCCTTTTGAGGCCCCTAGTGAGCATACATAATGTCATGAACATTGTTGTATATTTAGGTTGAAAAGCTAAGATTACATTTTGAAGATCTCTCACACATCACTTTGTTAGAAAAGCATTAAATCAAGGGAGAATTACAATCAAGTCTTAAAAAAGAAAAATAATTACTAAAAAGTTTCAATAACAATCTAAGCAACTTGTAACGACAAGTTCTAGAGTGAAGAATAAGAACCTCTAGAACTTGTTTTGTTATTTTTTTTCTTCCTTAGAATCTTATTGTAATTCTCCCTTAAATCAAACTAGTAATCCAAAACTTCTTTAGAGTAAGCGATCAGAGAATGATAGAGAAGGATTAAGGAGATGAAGGTTTGAACTTTGAGCTAAGAATGTGAATGATAAAAAAGGAATAGTGAAGAAGATTGCAAAAAGGAATTTAAAAAAAAAAAAAAAGGAAAAGGGAGAGGGGGAATGAACGGGGTAAACATGAGCGTTCAAAGCTCCAACGTAAAAAGTAGTGTGGAGAAGAAATAATAATAGAACACAAAATCCCTTGTTTAGAAAATGAAACAGAGTGGGTTTTCAGAACACTCTGTCTGCTAGTATTTGTTTTACTCTAAGTCATTCGTTTCATCACTTGCTGATGAGTTTAAACCCAAAGGGTTTCATTTATTTGCATAAAATCTGAAATGAGCCATACATATATTGGTGATTTTGACTTGCAATGCTTCTTTGTTGAATCATAAATACCATTCCTTTTGCTGCAGCTTCTAAGTAATGTTGGCTATGTTCTGCAATCAGAATCTTCACAAGTGTTCTGGGATTGTTGTTTTAATGTTGTTGATATGACTATGAATCTTTTGGTCACTTTCCTTGCCCCACAATAGCAAATACAATCCAATGATCACAGTAAGTGCTCCTATGATGCTGAAGAAGGACTTATGTGAGTAACAGAAATTTTAGAGTAAATTGAATTACAATCTCAGAACTTATTCTTCTGCTCATTTTGTCTAAATTTATGTTAGAACTTCGTGATCATTATTTGTTTGTTGCTATAAGACTGATTGGGAAATGAAGCCTTATGGACCTTAATTTGATCTTGACAGTCTAATTTTGTTACTCCCAATTATCCTAGTTGTAGAAATTAACTAGTTCACACATGTTAAGAAAGTTAAGTTAGTTATTTACAATATATATATGTTGATTTTTTTTAGATACTTCTCTAATTCTAAATATAAGATTCTTTTTATAATGTAATTTATACTGCAGAATGGGTCTTACAATTAGGATTGGGGAATACTCCACTTGAAGGTTTGTTCTCCCTACTAGGAAGGACTTCCTATGTTGGCTAGTGGAGTGCATAGTTCATTCCATATTTATGTGAGTAAAAGGAACAAAATAGATTACCTAAAGAAATTGTGTTCTCAGGGTAGCTTGAAGAAAAAGTAACATGAGAAGCAAAAGAGATTAAGGTTTTATATCAAAGTTTCAAAATAAATTTCTTAACTAATTTCTATATTTAGGAGCAAAGAAAATATTACAGTAAGAAACATCATTGTACAACCACAACAAAATAACAAAAATTTTGAAACTTCCTGTAAATTTTTATACAATTTAAAATATAAGTTCAGTCCTTTAAGTTTACATTAAATTTTAGTTTAATTTCTTAAGTTTAAAATATCTATTTTTAAAGGTTTAAACTTAACACTGTTAACTTCACTAACAGAAACTCTTGATTCAATGAATTTAAAATAGTGACTCAAGAATTAAATGCGGACAAAGTATTCCTAATTTTAGTTCTTTAATGCCTAGTTTTAATTCTTTAATATAATATAATTTTTTTAGTAATTATATATTTTGCTAGCCTAATGAAAAATCTAGATGTAGCTTTTTATCTATTCTAGTCGCCATCTCTAGCTGTTTTTCACCCTTCCATCTTGTTTCCTTCTTCATATCAATTTTTCATCCCTCCATTAATTGTGTCCACACGTCCTTCTTCTATCAATAAAATGTACACACATATAATAATAAGGAGAAAACTTAGGTCAAGTTACTTAGGTCCATTAGGTCCGGTTAGCCAATGAAAAACTACCACCTCAATTATTTTTCCGCATCAGCCCTTGACCCCGTAAACTGCCGTTAGTAGACTAAAATTTCTGGAAAAAAAATTTAAGAAAAAAAGGGGAGGAGTTGCGATGAGAGCAAGGGCTAAAGAAAGCAAAGTTCCCAACAATGGCAACAGCAACTTTGAAAGTTCCGATGGCCTGGCTCTGTCAAAGTAAGATGAATATCCAGTGTATGGAGGAATAAAAAAATGGAATGGGGACATCAAGATGCTCACGGCGGAGGAAGACATCCTGCTATGTCGAAGGAAGAGATTATCGAAAAGCCAAAAGAAAGTTGTTTTTACAGATTCTTCTCTCAATAACCCTCTTCCTTTATCCTCTAAAGCATCGTTGTTGGGGAATGAAGCTACGGAAGCAAAAACAAATTATGATTACGCGGCAAAATGGTTATTGGAGGAGAAAAATTGGATTCGAAATATACAAAAGAATAGCAGGAAATTATCACCTTTAACAGGTTGATTGATAATAATGGAGTTTTGTTAGGCCTAGTTGAATTCATTAAGAAACTCAGGCAAGTTTCAATTTCCCAAGGATCTGAATGAGGTTTCTTCAAAGTTGTCATCGTCTTTACGGGGAACTCTTACGCCCCTCTGATTTGGCTCTCTTTGTTTTTCTTTTTTTACTTTTTTCCCCCTAAAGTTGCGTCCACATTCAGTGCTCATCAGGTGATGAGCAATCTGGGCTGTCCAGATCTAATCTGGATGGTCCAGATTTAATATTTTTAAATAATTATTTAAAAATAAAAAAATTATATTTTTAAAGAATGATAGTTAAGAGATTATTTTTATTTTTTATCCTATACCTATTAAAATAATTATTTTTAAAAAATAAAATTAAAATTAAATCTGGACCGTTCAGATCAGATCTGGATGGTCCAGATCTGATGAGCATTGAGTGCTCATCAAAACTAATAAGCACCCAAAGCAAATCCCCTAAAGTTTTAGTGGCAAACCACGGTTTAAGGGGTTAAGGCCTGATTTGGAAAAATAATCCATGTTACAGTACCTAATTGGTTAACTGGACTTAATGGACCTAAGGCACTTGACATAAGTTTTGTCCTATATGTATTTATACACACCCACGCATATATTCCTTTAGTCCAATTTATAAGGTAGAGAAAAAGATATTTTTTTTGTGCTATTTATGAGCCATTTTATTAAATTTTTAGGATGAATGTACATTTTTTGTCATTTATTTATTACAATGTAGATAGTTATTTTTATGAAATGAGTATATATTAAATAGGGGTAAGGTTGAAATGATGTTATATTTTAATGGAGGGTTAATATATTTTAAGATTTTTCTTAGTGTATATGAATATGTTAGAAGTGCCTTATTTCACGAAATTTAATTGTACAGCTCTCATCTTTGTAAATTGGTGAGTCAGCATTTCAAATTTGCTAAGTTGGCGCTTTCCATTAATAAGTTTAACCGTGTTAAATTTAAGGAACTGAAAATCCACTTTTTAAACATAAAAGACTAAACTGAAATTTGATGACAACTTAAAAGGACCAACAAGTATAATTTAGCCTTTTATATATTTTTCACTTCCACCCCTATAGTTGTAATTACAAAGAATTACAAAGACCTTTGTCTTTTAATACATTAACTTGATATTTAGTCAGCAAGCATTTGTGCATTGAATTAAGTTGTTTAGGATTTCTAGAAACTATTAAGCTAAATGCAACAAACACATTCAAGTCAATTGACATGGAGAGATTATTAGCTGCAACCACACGTGTTCTTGCGTATCATACAGAGACTGAAGTAATTAAGTTGGTAGTATATGAATAGTATGGCCCAATTTATTGATTCATTGCTTTGTTTTTCCATGAAAAAAATGAAAATGATGAGTGGTGAATTATTACGTACCTGCCCAAATGAAGTTTCTCACCAAAGACAAAGTAGGCTAAAATTGCCACTAGTATTGTAGAGAGAGGGTTAAACATAGTGACAAAAACTGGCCCTTTTTTCTCATTGCACCATAGTTGAATGAAGATTATCAGCCCGGAGACGACAACTCCCTGCCATTAATAATTAATTTGGTACTGATTATTCATATCATCAGAACATTAGATTTTGTTACTTTCAATTCACATATGCTTGTTGTGCACTAGAAGAAACTAATTGATAACCAAGAGATGTGCAAATTACCAAATGCCAACCCTAATAATTAATGTAATTGAACAGAAACTGACATACGCACCCCGTCAGATCTCTATTATAAAGCACTTTCTAGAAGGAAAAGTGATCATTATTATAAGTCACCAAGTAGTGGTATAGATTATATATTTTCCCCCTTATTTAAATCTTGATGCAATCTTCCTTTTTCGCTTCTCAAGATGTAATTTATGGTTTTAAATATAAATAAATTTGATTTTTTTCATTTATATTTAATGAATCAGCTATTTTTTCTCTGTTGAGATGGTTGAAAGTCTCTTATAATAAGATATATAAGGAGTGCAGGGATTATATGCATACATACATGTGGGTGCATGCACACACAAATGTATAAATGGTCAAGTAACTTGCAAAAAAAAAAAAAAAAAGGTCAAGTAACTTGCAACATTAGAAGATGGTGTATTATACTTACACCATAAATGGTGGACCAAAGGTCAATATTGAAACCTATGGCCCAAGCTGATGGCTTATGTTGCATTATTACTGTGAAAACAGCTGATTGTGCTGCTCCAACAAAGCACATCCAAGTTGCTAGTGATAGTTGGGCAGGGTATCTTCTCAAAGTCAAAGCCTGTAATTCCACACTTACTTTCATCACTATTCTTCTTAACTGCAACTTTTAAATAAACAAGACATATATTAATGTGCATTGCAAAAAATCCAAAAGAAGAAAAGAATTCATTATCATGACTTGTGTGAGAGAGAGAGAACAAAATTTTAGTCTAGTCTACCAATGTATAAAGAAGGATTTGCAAAAAGTTGGACTACAAGTATAATGAGCCAAGAGAAGCAATATGAATTGCAACTGCTAAACAGGACATAATTAAAACCCTAAAATCATGGTAAGTTTGAGGAAGTTGGAGATCAAAACCTGCATAATGTACCAAATAGACCATGTTATGCAGCTTAAGACAGTGAGAATTGAACCCTTTAACCAGTCTTCATGGATAGGATTAGGAGTTTTCCCATGAATCTGAACCAGAGGATGATCCCATAGATTCCTTATCACAGGTCCTTTGTACAATGTCATAGTCATTACACCACCTAATGATAATAAGGTTCCAAGAACTTTTGCTCCACCCCTAGGGTGAAGAAAATCAACAACTTCTAACCTGAATTATTCAACTCAAATATGGATCAAGGCTAAACAAATTCAAAATGCAAATGATTAATGCTAAGAGATTCAAAAAGAAAGTCATCTCTTTATTAGATCAGTAATGTTTGGTGGCTATCTATTAGAATATAGAACTCCCACATCCAGTGGTTATAAGACAAATTGAAGATATATAGGTTAGAGGTGAGTCTATTTATATTTATGAAGGATAAGCCTTAAGTATAGTTAATAAATGAGGCTTTTAGGATGAGTCTTTAATGAGTATGATTTTGATTAGCAAACAAAGAAAAGAAGAAATTAAAGCAAACCTGAGCAGCACTGCAATGATGAAGGTGATGGAAGCTATGATGTTGACCATGGAAGCGACGAAGGTTGGAGAGGTATATCTCAAGCTTGCAAAATACATGTTCAGAGTTAAACTAACCCTAAAAATTCATGAAAATTTTGCCCACATTAAAATTAAATTCCTATTCTTTTCCATATTGACTTTCTTTGTGCTTGCTTACCCCAGCAGAGAAAGCACAAAAATTTCCAAGAAAAGAGTCACTGTCATCTTTGGTCTCATTTTTCTGCAACAAATTATATTGAAATTTTAACAATATACCTTCTAGTAAGCTATATGTTGAACTCATAATTTGCATGAAAATCGAGGGGAAAAAAACGAAGAGAGATACAAACTTACCATCAAGATCTGGTCAAAATAGAATTTTGTTTTATTTTTTTAAGCATATGAGACTATAAGCTAATTCATGTTTGAATTAAGTCTTCAACATAAAACTCTTCCATCACAGTTTTCTTCATTCATAAGGTTTGAACTAAATATTTAACAGGACCAAAGTACTGAAAATCAGAATGGCCGTCAATCTAATCAAGACAATGGTTCAAGAGTTAGTGATATAACTAGGGTTGAACCACAATCAACCTAATCATAATTCAAATAAAATAATTAATTAAAATTTATAAAACATTCATATATAACCTTGAAACAGTATATTGAAATAGAACATTCATATATTTAAATAAAAACACATTAATCCACAAGTAAATAGAGTTACTAGAACACAAATATGACACATTGCTTCTTCTTTTTTGGTACTCAAAACGATGTCATTTCAAGCTTACTAATGAAGGGAGAAAATATAAAATTCAACTTAATTGGCCCATCCAAAACTCTTAATTGAGCAGGTCAAGAGACTGACTCACCAATTCACTATTATGACTGGTTAACTTGGGTTGGGTTTTAATACCATGTACAAGGCATATCAAGTTATTTTGCTACAAGAGAAATGTAAATTTAACTATTGCATACCTCTCAAGAAAGTAAGCAAAAGGGAACATGACAAGGGCAGCCACAATATTCCTGTAGGTCACATAAACATGAGGGTTCATGCCATGGTTGAAGGAAGCCTCGGTGATGAAGTACAGCAGCGTATAGCCTATCTGAGTTGAAACCATGAGGATGTGTGCTTTGAACTTCATGTTCACAAGCTAGGTCTCAATTAAAAACAAGTACAAGAAGACGCTTTCAGTAGTATAATATATATATATATATATATATATAGATGGAACATATTAGACAGGAATGTGATTCATATTTCTTAAGGCGTGTTGATGGTATCCTGTTCTTGATTATATTTAATTCCCATTACATAAACGTGATATATAGCGTATGAATGATCATGGTCAAAACTAAATGATATCGAATCTCCTGAGCTTGATGCATACGTAAATAATAATTTTCCTAACTTTTGAAATTTTACAATAGTTCTCCATAAATTTTTTACATTTATGCAGATAACTCTCATATTATTACTGAAGTTTATTATTTATCTGCAAGTAACTTAAAGTTTAGGAATTTACCTGCATATAAGTCAAAGTTTGATTGAAGATTCAACCTAATTCTCATGCAAAATTTTCAATCATATGGCGTGCATGTGTGATAGATATTTTCATTCGCTGTTGATTAAAGATCGTGCTTGTAATCCTAAGCAAATTAATACTCTTATCGGTCCTTAATATAAAAATTACTTAACTCATTTGATCAGATTAAAGTCTGGTAGATTAATTAATTAAAATAAATGTGATCTAATCTTTTCAAAATAACCATGTGTAACATTAGACTAGTAAGTTGGGTAAATAAGATTGGAAACAAATGATAAATATGAAATATAAAATGACTTGAGGTTTTATATTTAGGACCAAGTCTACCTTCCAGCTAACTCTTAATATTAGGGATAGGAGGGAATACTTTTTAGAGAATTGGTAATGATAATTTATATTTTGTAGCATATTGGGTTACAAAGTGGCATCAGATTCCTATACGTGAATGTTTGGGGACAAATGGGTTATTAGGTTTTGATTATCTTTGTCCCCTTTACGTTGTATTTAGAGCACCTTAATTGACTTTATAATTTAGAAGAATTCATTTGAAACGAAAAGATTTTAAAATACCATCTAATGTGATAGGATTTGCTCACTAAATGTATAAATAAATTTAATTGATTCTTTAATTTGTTTAAATTAATACCATTCCAAACAAGATTGTTAATTAATGATTAATAAATATACCTATAAATTTGAATGTGATGCAAAAGGGACGTGAAAGGAATGAGAGAAAGAATAGAGAAGGGAAGAGATCATAGGAGACTAGGGAAGAGGAAGGAAAAGCAAGAAAGGAGCAGAAAACAAAACGAATAGAGAGGAAGAGAACAACCCACAGAGAAGGCAATAGCAGTACTCAATTGATTTAATTCATAAGGTGTACAAATGAAAATGTCTTAGGCATATTTATAGGCCTTAACCCAAATCCTAAAAATTAAAAGCATTAAAAGTAAATATCCTAGAAATCCCAAAAATTAAATAAAAATATTCTAGAATAATCTAAAGGATAACTTTCTAAAAAATTAGATTTATTCAAACCAAATCCTACTTCAGATCCAAGGCATCATTCTAATAAAGCAAAAGTCTCATGCTGGTAAAAAAAAAAAATCCTAAATTTAATTAATGCAATATGCAATCAACATAAAATAAGCTCCTCTGTTTTAAATATTGCAAAACCATCGTTAGTGACTTAGGAATAATTCCCATTAAAAGTATATCTTTGATTTTAAAACTCCTTTAAAAAATGCTTATAAAAAAACTCCTTTAAAAAATTAAAAAACATTACAGAATTGCAATGAACTCCCAGATAAGGAACAAAATTATTAAAAAGTCCTGGTGACAATAATGCACCATATAATGACAAGTTTAAAAAAACTAAATAATAACCGCTCATTTGTTATTGAAACTTTTGATAATCATATTTTTTATTTGGAACTCGCTGTAATTCTCTCAATACAAAGATTACTTTTTGAGAGGAAATATTATTTGTTTACAACTGTGTGTTTGCTTTTACATTTGCATGGTTGACAGGGTGTGGTCGTGCATGTGGGCCCCTAAAAAGAAAAAGGTCATCCTTCACAACTTGTGATCAATTTTGGCTCCTAAACTTTTTACAAGTGCATTGGATTTTATTCTTGTATTTCTACATTTGCTTTGTATGACCTTTTTAAGATGATTGTTTTTCCTCTTTATTCTTTCTTGAGGCCTCTAGTAAGCATACATATAACGTTATGATCATTATATTGTTCTATGTATAGTTGTGGCTCAAAAGCTTAAACTGCATTTCTAAATCTCAGAACACTTTGTTACTCGCAGTATTTTATTTTGCTCTAATAAGTCACTCGTTTCATTGCTTGTTGGGTTAAAATTAAGATTGTCTAGAAAATACGAAGAAAGAAAGGAAAAGAAAATCTTTTTCTTTTCTCAATAGTAAATTACTACTAGAATTACTGGTTTAAACTAAAATGGGGCTTCACGTATTTGCGCAGAATTTGAAATCGGTTGCTGTATATATATTGATGATATTGATGATTTGACTTGCAATGCTTCTTTGTTGAATCATAAATACCATTCCTTTTGCTGCAGCTTCTGAGAAACGTTAGCTATATTCTGCAATCAGAATCTGCACAAGTGTTCTGCAATTGTTGTTTAATGTTGTTGATATGATTGTGAATCTTTTGGTCACTTTCCTTGCCCCACAACAGCAAATACAAGCCAATGATCACAGTAAGTGCTCCTATGATGCTGAAGAAGGCCTTATGTCAGTATATAGAAATTTTGGAGTAAATTAAATTACCATCTCAAAACTTATTCTTCTTCCCCTCGTTTTGTCTAAATTTATGTCAGAACTTACAAATTGGTATCTGTTTGTGCTATAGCACTATAATTGGGCCACAAGGCCATATAGATCGTAACTAGATTAAGGTGTAAATTCACTTCAAAAGTTTTTGTTTAATAGCATTACTACTCCAAAAGTTTTTTGGATTCAAAGTTACCCCAAAAGTGTGAAAATGGAGTAATGTTGCCCCTAATCATTAAAAATAGTAACAATTAATGTCAATATTTTAAAAGTCAACGTTAGTTTTGTAACAAGGTAAGGCAATATTGCTACATTTTGAAACTTTTAGGGCAAATCTTAAATCCAAAAAGAATAATTCGGAGCAACATTGATCCTAAGCGAAAACGTTTAAGATAAATTTGCACCTTAACTTATCTTAATTTGATCTGCATGAGCCAAATCTATCACTCTCTATTGTCCTAGATGTATGAACTAAGTAATTCACACGTATGAAGAAAAAAATTAGGTGAATAAATTATTTGAAGAATATATATGTTAGCTTTTCTAAAATACCTTACTTAGCAGTCTCCTCTAATGCTTCTCTAATGTAGCTTATTAAAAACATTGTGCAGTCAATAGAAATAGTTCAAGTAAAAAATAATGAGACATAAAGGAGACTGAGGTTTAGTACTAAAATAAACTTTTTAACTAGTTTTTACATTTAGGATATGAAAAAGTACTACTATAACAAACCCGGTTACACTACCACAACAAAGGAACAAAAGCCAATCTGTTTTGAAACCTCGTCGAAGTTTTATATATTGTTCACTTCTACTCCCTATAGTTGTAATTAGAAATAAATAAGAAAGAATTAAAATGAGATCCCAAGAGAAAACCATAATTAATAGTAAGGCTCAATGACAAGTAAACAGTTGTTATTTTCTACACCAAAACTTATTATGACAAGCTGCTATGTTATCATTGAGACCTTTTTATAATTGTGTTCCTTTCTTATAATTTCATAGCAATTCTCCCAAGAATTAAATAGTCCTTTGTCTTTTATTACATTAACTTGATATTTAGTAAGTGAGTATTAGTACGCTAAAGAAAAATGTAGTATATGAATAGTATTCATTGCTCTGTTTTTTAATTAAAAAAATAAAAATGATGAGAGATGAAGTGTTACATACCTGCCCAAATAAAGTTTCTCACCAAAGACAAAGTATGCTAAAATTGCCACTAGTATTGTAGAGAGAGGGTTAAACATAGTGACAAAAACTGGCCCTTTTTGCTCAGTGCACCATAGTTGAATGAAGATTATCATCCCAGAGATGACTACTCCCTGCCATTAATCATTAATGGGTTTTGATTATTCATATAAACATTTTTTTTCCTTTCTGGAACAAAATATTAGTAAATTAAACAATATATATAAAGATATACGCACACTCTCCATTAGGTCTCTATTATAAAGCACTATTTAGAAGAAATAAGTGATCTTTCTTATAAGTCATCACTAAGTGGGGTATTAATTATATTTGTTCAAGATTGATCTTATTTAAACCTTGATGCAATCTTCATTTTTTGCTTCTCAAATTGTATTTTTTGGTTTTAAATAAGAATTAGTTTATACTTTTGTTCATTTTTGAATGAACTTAATGACTTAAACACCTCTCATTGGTTTTGATGAGGTGATTAGAGGTGTCTTATAATAGAGACCAAAGAGAGTACAGACATTTTTACATACGATCAAGTATCTTGCAACATTAGAAGATGGTGTATTATACTTACACCATAAATGGTGGACCATAGGTCAATATTGAAGCCTACGGCCCAAGCTGATGGGTTATGTTGTATTATCACCGTGAAAATAGCTGATTGTGCTGCTCCAACAAAACACATCCAAGCTGTTAGTGATAGTTGGGCAGGATATCTTCTCAAAGTCATAGCCTGCAATTTTATGCTTATAGTTGCGTTACTATTCTTCTTCATTGCAATTGTTAAAAAAGACACAATTTAAACCCTAAATCAAAGTAAGTTGAGAAAAGTGGTGATCAAAACCTGCATAATGTACCAAACAGACCATGTTATGCAGCTTGAGAGAGTGAGGATTGAACCCTTTAACCAATCTTCTTGGATAGGATTAGCAGTTTCCCCATGCATCTGAACCAGAGGATGATCCCACGGATTCCTTATAACAGGACCTTTGTATAGTGTCATGGTCATTACACCACCTAATGATAACAAAGTTCCAAGAACTTTTGCTACACCTCTAGGGTGACGAAAATCAACAACTTCTAACCTGAATCATTCAACTCAAATATGGATCAAGGCTAAACAAATTGATGATGCAAATGGTAAATGATAAAATATTCCAAAAGAAAGCCCTCTCTTCGTTGGATTAGTAATGCTGTGTGTTTGATGGTTATATATTAGAAGTCCCGCATCTAGTGGTTACAAGACGAATTAAGTATCTATATGTTAGAGGTGACTTTTACTGATGAATTTTAGTTTGCTTCAGTCTTAATGCAGCACCTCAACAATTCACTTTGTCACCGGTTTATAATTCTTTTTATTAGACAATCCAGTTAATTGCAATTTGGACATTCTGAACGGATTTCCATCAATGACGATAGTTTTTGAAGTAAATGTCAAAGGGACTTTTAAAAAAAAAAAACTAACGCATATTTATTATAATTAACTAATAATTTTTCTTAACATTTGTGAATTAGTTATCGTTCCTATATTTATGACCAAATAAGTATAAGGGATAAGCTATAAGTATAGTTAATGCACTAAAATGAGGCTTCTGGATGAGACTTTAATTACTATCATTTTGACAGCAAATAAAGAATAAGAAATTAAAGCAAACCTGACTAGCACTGCAATGATGAATGTGATAGAAGCTATGGTGTTAACCATGGAAGCAACGAAGGTTGGAGAGGTATATCTCAGGCTTGCAAAGTACATGTTCAGAGTTAAACTAACCCTAAAAATCCATGAAAAATTTGCCCAAATCAAAACTAGATGCCCATGTCCTTTCATGTAGAAGTAGCAGCAGCAGTATAGTAGTAGTAGTAATAATAATAATAATAATAATAATAGGGTTAATATAATATTTGGTCCATCAAGTTTGCCTTCATTTTGGTTTTAGTCCGTTAAGTTTTAAACTATAAGTTTTAGTCTTTCAAGAGCAAAATGATCCAAGTTTTTATTAAATTGTAGGAACCAATGTTTTAAATAAAAAAGAACTTGAAAGACCAAAACCTATTGTTTAAAGGTTGAGGGATCAAAATCTATTGTTTGAAACTTAAAAAACCAAAACCACAATGAAGATAAACTTAAAGGACCAAAATTTGTATTAACCTATAATAATAATAATGATGATGTAAAAATGTCAACTTTCTTTATACTTACCCCAACAAAGAAAGCACAAAAATTTCCACGAAAAGAGTCACTGTCATTTTTGGTCTCACTTTTCTGTAAGAAATTATGTTGAAATTTTGACTGTCAAACTTTTGGCAAATTATGTAGAGCTCATTCTGCATTAAAATTAATATAAAAAAAATGACGGAAAAGCGACATCATTTCAGGTTCAACAAGGGAAGACAACAAATATAGAATCCAATATGTGGTCGAACTGTCGAAAACTCTTGACCATACCAGTTAAAGGGGACTATATTTCACCAATTCAATAGTCTGACCAACCGACTCAAGTTGAATTTTAATACAATACAATACACTACTAACTAATTCATGATCCAATTAAGTCTGGCCTCCAACTTATTATAAAACCCTTCCGTTATGTATATCTTCATTCATAAGATTTGAACTAAAGATTTCCACAAGGGATATTAAGTCATTTTCCGTGCTCAACCCAAACCAAAGACAATAACTGAAAGGGAAATCCAAATTTCGTTAATACACACCTCTCTAGAAAGTAAGCAAAAGGGAACATGACAAGGGCAGCCACAATATGCCTGTAGGTTACATAAACATGAGGGTTCATGCCATGGTTGAAGGAAGCCTCAGTGATGAAATACAACATCGTATAGGCTATCTGTGCTGAGACCATGAGGATGTGTGCCTTGAACTTCATGTTCACAAGCTTAGCTCTCAATTAAGAACAAGTACAAGAAGACACTTCAGTTATACATACATGTGTGTGTGTGTGTGTGTGTGTGATGGAATATATTATACGAGAATGTGATTCTTTATTTCTTAAGACATGTTGATGGTATCCTGTTCAAAGGGACTCGATAACCTTTGAGCAATGCTTTTGGTTTGAACTTTTTGATGTTCTAAGGGACTCCAAAACCTTTAAGCAATGCTTTTTTAATTATCCAAAGCATAGCTAGTAACGGTTTGATATTACAAATGGAATCAAACCCACAACGAAGCTACCATGGCATTAAGCTTAATTAACTTTATAACTTAAAACAATTAATTTGAAACGAAATGATTTTTTAAAAAAAAACATATCATCTGAGGTTATAGGATTTGCGCTAAATATGAAAACAAATTTAATTGGATTCTTTTTTTTTTTTAATTAATACCAACTCAAACAAGATTCTTAATTAATGAATATACCTACAAATGACATGGGCTCCTTTATTTTAAATATTGCAAACACCATTGTTAGTGACTTGCGAATAATTCCCACAAAAAGTATCTTTTATTCTATTTGGGAGTGCTTTAAGAAAACACTATTTGCACTCTATATTTGTTGAAAGAACGCATGTTTACATTTTTTATTTTTTGGCTACCAGTCGAGACCCTGGACCCTAATGTGGCGTAGCAACTTTTTTTTTTTTTTTTGGGGCCAATATAGCGTAGTAACCTTTGAGCTTATAGAAAAGTAAATTGTACACATTAAGAAAAATAGAAATTAGTTTATACATTTTAGAAAGGATAAAATTAATTCGTCGGTCCTTATGATTTTTCCTTTTTTTTAAGTTATAGTCTTTATAGGTTTTAATTGAGTCCCTATATTTTTTCCAATTATATTAAAGTATTAATCCATATGCTTATAATGTTTTAGTTAGGGCTGATGCAGATGCTGACCAAGCAACACATACATATAGATAAGTTATACGAAAATACAAAAATAAAGAGGTTTATTTTCATAAAACAAAATGATGAAATAAAATTTATTAACAATATAAAAATAAAAAATTATTATACTCAAAATGGTCTTATTACATCTATATATGATATATAATATAGCTGATTTTGATTTTATTTCAACCCACATGTGGTAAAATTAATTCAAGTGCATGCTGATTGTTGAGTGAGAGGCATGTTATCACCTTCTAATGTTGTTTCTCTTGTAAATTAATAAACTGAGTATATGAATCAATATCTATACAAGAAATTTGGAAACTATAAGGACCCAATAAAAATAAATAAAAAATTAAAAATAGGATAAAATTTTAAGAACTTGCATATTAACTGTTGCAACATTTCAAGAGGTTTGCCTCTCCATGAATTTAAGTAATTTAGGTCATTATAATATAGATTTGTAGTAATTTTTTACAGTAATCGTAACAAAAGAAAAGCACTTTGCTATAACTCTTACCAACCACCCGCTTCGTTCGTAGTTATGTTTTGGTGACGAAGTGTGATTCATTAACAGAACCAATATTTTATCATTTCTATTATTTTATTATTAGTTTCTTGTTGGCTAATTAGCTTTTTGCTTTATGGTGGATTCAGTTTAAATAAATATTGTGTATTATGATGGGGTTGGTTTGTGGCTGCTGACTTCCATTTCCATTACAAACTTTTATAATTTGTAATTTTATTGTATTCCACCAAACTGATAAAATAATACTGCCGACCAAAAAAAAACTAATAAATAACAATACCAACAAAAACTAATAAATAACATTCTCTCAGTTTCAATGTATAAGCTTCAAATCTACTGTCTTGAAAAGCGGGCCGGGTTGAACCGGAACACCTACGAAATGGAAAAAATGACTTGGGAGCAACCTGGTTAACCTAGTTGCCTCTTTTTTTTTTTAAAGCTATTGATGTAAAAAAAATTTCTTTTTTTAAGATATTAATAATTATTACTTAGTGCTTGAATGATTATAGAGTGAAATATTTTGTTATCGTATTATTTTGATAGGATGAATATTTAATAATTTTGGTAGTATGATATTATGATTTCAATTTGTTAAAGGAATTGTAAAGAAGACTAAAAAGAAACTACAAGTATATGATTATTATATTAGTGATTCAAGGTACTAATTGATACTTAATCTTTGGATGGCATGATGAAAATTTAAATTATTTTTTGTCTCTTACTGATTTGATGTCTAGGTTGACTTTGATCTGTACTGACCCTTGACCTAGTGTCTTGACCGATTCAGTTATTAGTTCGGTTTTCAGTATCTTGATCAAATCTTTAAAAGGGCTTATATATATATATATATATATATATATAGCTTTGAATTTGTCTAATCATTTATGATTTAATACATTTTTTTATTTTTACCCCCTAATTAATTATATGTCTCCCTCTTTTTCCCTCACATTCTCTCTCATCTCTTTTTCCACTCACTCCCCCCCTAAAACTCGTTCTCTTCACAAATAAGGGTGTTATAGGAAAATAGGTTGCATTGTTTTACATATTTATTGTTTTTAACCAATTTTAACTAATTTTTTAAATTAGTTATTTGATGCTTATATTTTAAACCAGAAATAATACTATATTTAGATAATAGAACCTTGGAATCCCATATAAAAAAGGGTAAAGCAAATTATTAGAGACAACTAAAAAAATATTTCATCAATGGGAAAATAAGTATCTGATCTAAATATTTTTTAAACAAAAAACAAATTTTTGGATTTGGATTTATGGCAAACCTATATTCACGCCCAAGGTTTATTTATGGTGTTCATCGTACTTTAAAAAAAAATAGATATTTTTGCATCTTTACTCCTTTTTTTAAGTACATGTATCAAAAATGTATATACATAACCCAAAAAAATTAAGGGAGTGAGATGAACAAAAATCATACAATAAACTTAGTTCATTCCAAAACTATATCTACAATAAATTCACAATATTACTACATCCGGTCCTAATTATAAGAGCTAGTTGACTAATTTGAGGATATTAAGGAAATAAGTGAAGTTAGTTATTTATAATAAATAGGTATTGTATTTCCTAAAATATCCTTGCTAATGAAATGTATTAGCTAGAACTATCATTATTAGAAGAACCATCTTAAAAAAAAACATAAATATGAGAGATAAAATGGATTAGGATCTTATAATTAGAATCAAAATAAAAGTCAAACAAAGTCTTATATTAAAAACTAAAGGTAGTAATTTTTTTTAAAAAAATTTTAGTATGACTATTATTGACTCCCTCCTGCAATACATGTGAAGAATTTACTTCGATATAACCAATAATCCCAATTTATTACAATTTGCATCGTCACAAAAGCGTCAACGCGGTATGATATTATATCTACCCTTAATATAAAACCTAATTAATTAATTTAAAAAGATTAAAGAAATTAATAAATTACTTTAAAGTATTTATATACTGCAAATTAATTTTAAAAATATCATGTAACAGATGTTATAATTAAGTAATGGGTTAATTTTTTTTTTTGTCATTCAAACTTGCCCTCATTTTGGTTTTAATCTTTCAAATTTCAAATTATATGTTTTCATCCCTCAAATTTTTTTCCATCTAAAACATTGACCCCTATAATTTAATAAAAATTTAGATCATTTTAATTCTAAAAGATTAAAACTTATGGTTTGAAAGTTGAGAAATTAAAAGTAAAATGAGAACAAATTTGAAGGATTAAAGATTGTATTAACTTTTTGGTAACTTTCTCAATCTCCCCATATTGATCAACTAAAGTTTACGCTTCTGTGTTCTATCCTTGAAATCAAACATTATCGATAAAACCTCTACTGGTGTTCGTAGATAGTACATATGAAACTCAAATTGTACGCAGTCAAACAGATTTTTTAAATCCCAATATCATCCTACGTATATTACATTAATCATCAATAGCAATCATTAAAATAAACACACACATAATTATACAGGAGAGAATATACTTAATCACAATATACTATCTTAGATCCTAATTATAAGACCATCTACAAACGGACCTTATAATTAAGACCAGAAATAATACATAAAGTCTATTATTCTAAATTTAAATGCGACAATAAAATATAAAATTACAATATATTACTCTCAAAGCCTACACATTTTTAAATATAGTATATTATTCGCTTTGATTCTATAAGTTACATTTTAAATATGTCTGAAGTTTTAATTCACATTTTACATTTTTACCCACATTATTACATGTCTGTCTCATCTCTTTTTCCCACATATTCTCTTTTTTTTTTTTCAATTCATTTTCCTTCTCACTCACTCTGCTAAAAAATAAGGGCATATTTAAAATAAAATAATATTTATCATATTTATTGTCTTTAATCAATTTTAACCAACATATTATCCCCATAATTCAACTATTTGTATCTCATGAACAAGACCAAAGAGAGTATTACGGAGTTATGACCATCTAAACACATTATCGAATTCAGGTCGTGTAAATCTAAAAGGTGCCTTCGAAAGATTAACACCTCATTTAAAACCCAACGTTAACTCAAATATGGATGAGTCAGGGTCTAGAGTGAGAGATAAGAGAAGAGAAAGCTACTCTCAAATAGGACTGAGAATGGGGGCAAACCTAACCATAGACGCTTTACAAGCATCTAACAGAACTCTTAAGCAAAGAGGGGGCCAAAAGAAAGATGCATAGAAACAAGAACATCTATCAGCAAACCAATTGCAGCCTGTGCCTTTGTAAATCAACATGAAACTTTCGTAAATCATGAAAAACACCTATACATTCCACCTTTTCCTCATACAAACGTTGCTAACTAGCCCAATATGGATGTAGAGTGAAACGATCTATTTGCCTTCGTGCTGATATGATCAGAAGAAAACAAAAAATTGAAGAAGAATTTCAATTTCTTTTGTTTAGACAAGGGAACTCTGGTGAAATATCGAGCCTGCTACCCAGAAGCCAATAGCCAAAGCATAATTAAAGAGGATATTAAAATTGTTATCCAGCTCATGAAAGCAAAAGCAACTGAAATCTGGTACTTTTGGCATTCCTCTCCAAAATTGCAGTGTCCCAAATCATTGAAGTACAAAACTGTAACGCCTGCTGAAGCAGAAGCTGCTGCTAAGGATAATGTTGATGTTATCTGTGGGCAATGGTTGAGAAGTAAACTTGTCAAATGTTTGGGAGCCATAAGCACACAACTCTTACTTGATGTTACCAAGCAAGATGGGCCGTTTGATACGGGGAACAGAAAGGAATGAAGAAGAAAAGCAATGGAAAAGGTAATTTTATAGGTAGAAAACATCCCTGGATAAACGCAAAAGTAATAACGGGATAGCTATTATTGAGTAAAGATAAGGGAAGGGAAACTATTTCTCTTAGGAAAAGCATTTCTTTCCCATTTCATAAAAAATGACATATATATATAATATTTATGAGGTTAAGATGCAAAAATACTCATGAAGTATTCCCTCATTAGCATTTGACACTATAAAGTTTCCATGGGTGCAACAGTACACATGAACATTTCAAAATGAAGCAAAATTGCCATGTCTGTCAAGTCTAGCAACATTGACTGTTAAGTTCACCCGAAAAACAGTGGGGGGCCCACCACACTAAAAATAACAGACATTAATCGATGTGGCACATATGCTTCATTTGGAAACCTTCATGTGTACTGTTGTAACAATGGTGACTTCATGGTATTAGATACACATGGATGAATACTTCATGGGTGGATTTACCCCTCAACCCATATTCATAATATCAATCTTAATCATTACCTAACTGATTATCAATTTTATAGTTATTTTTTTATTCAAGGGAGCAAAAAGAACATTTCCAAAGGACAAAATCATTTTTTTTATCCAATTTTCAATTTCATTTCAATATACTTCGCATACCAAACAACCCCTTAGAATCATACAAGCCGTAAGAATCGTAAAGTTAAGTTGAGTAAGGGCTAACCCAATCTCCAACTACAAAGAGGCTAACCAGTACGGCATTGTGGAGGACCTTCTTTCTCATCCAAGCATATGCATCCAACAAGGCAAGCACAAAACTCCAAATGACTTGTAAACCCATTGAAGCTAGCAAGTAACTGTAATACCAAAAGAGTTTTTACCACAAAATTTTTCCTCATCTAACATCTAAAAATTTCATTGGCGTAACAATAGCAAAACTTCTACCAATCAATGATGACGAATCAGTTTTGGAGAAGCATGAAGCATAAGCATTTCTTGGAAAATATGGAATATATACGTGAAAGGAATAGATGAAAAATTATAATATGGGCATACATCACACTACAATGAGGTTTTATTAACAATCTCCGTCTTTAGCCAAACTCCCTTGCCATCTCCACTAAAATCTTAGTTTCTTACTTATATGCATTCATTATAACAGGAAGTTTACCACGTTGGAAATGTGATGACAACATGATTAATTAGATAAATTCAGCGGTAAACAATGATCTCATTCAAATTCTGTTGGGAACAACTAGGAGGGAGGAGAGGGCACGAAGAAATGCAGCATACTGGGAATACATAAAGGAAACCACTAACAACCCAAGAATAGTGCAACTTGTTTCTTGATTCTGTGCAAGGCATGGAGCCTAATCTAGTTAAATTGAATTATGCTTTTAAAAGTCAATATGCCATCTGTTGCAACAGGATCACCTTGAAATAAATTTGTCCAGTGCATATAGGGCTTGCATATGGTGTTTGGGTAGTTATCATGCCAAACTGACAAATAGTCAACTAGGAGATATATTAGCAAGACATTATGATAGAATTGCTTTCACTGGCCAGACCTACAAAATGAAAATTAGCAAGATACATGAAAGAGGAAAAACACTTTCTACTCTCCAGGGTATTGACCTCAAGCTTCCTACTGTTTTGGAGAAAGAAACTAAGCACTGGAGTTACTTTAGGGTGGCTATAGGCCTGACCTAGAAAAGGGTTGTATTGAGGGTTGTGATATTTGGACTTCTAATAGTCGTCGTTTCTCAGGGGAAGGCAGGACATAATTTGTATTTTGAGTGTTGTGAGGAGAGGCCTGACCTTTCGAAAGTAAGATTGGTGGTGAAGGAATATCATCTTTCTTCATCATTTTATCTTTCCATTTTAGTGCGTGTGAGGGGTTTCATGTACTGCACTTGCCTCTTGTTCACGAGGATGGGGTGTTTTGTGGAATTAACTACAGTTCAGCATTATTTTATCTACTGTTTTATCTTGGTATCCATCACGTTAGAAGCATCCAGTCCAGGAACTGCATAAATCAGAAAGGAGTCATATGAAACATTTGAAATGGAAATCTACGTAAAATCAGTTAGTATGTTTCATAGCAATAGTAAAGAATCAAGATTATTATTTTTATAAGCATGTACAATAGTAAACATTATAATTAATTGGCTAAAAATTCCCACTTCTAGTTCACAGATGCTTTGACGATGAAAGATGCTCCCCTAACAAATAATCGTCTTGGTGGAAAGGACTTTGTGTACTGGAAAGGTAGGGAATCGTGTTCCATCATATGAGAATATTGAAGCTATGTAAGAAATCAGGAGCTATTATTTCAAATAGGCAGATGGCCATGGCAATCGTCCTCGAACTATGGTTATCATTTTCCTCTACTTGGGATCTAAGATAAGTAGCTGCTTCAGCTACTCCAACAAATACAGACAGTTGTTTTGTTCTATTCCATAGCTTAGTCATAAATATCAGAGCGCATTTTTCTGATTAAAGGAAATATTTATTCTACTTCCCATCGCCATCCATACTTTGACAAGCAAGGAACCATTTCGTAATAGTTAGATCAGCTGAATCATAATTCAAACTACATAACATGACAATTGACATGTAAAAGTAGTACAAATGTTCAGCAGTACAAACGGCAACATGTAAACGAAGCAGTACTACTAGATTACTGAAACTGAGCTCCTTAAGATAGTTGTATAACAACCCGATCTGTGCAAGATAATCTGGGTTATTTCCATACATCTAAAATTCAAGTCGTGACTTTAAGCGGAATCAGTCGAATCAATCACTAACAAGTGAGTAATATAAAAAATGAGTTTGGAGAAAACTAGAGTCCATCAGCATAATCATTTGAAAAGAAAATTTTATAATTGAAGGAGAGAGAGTACTCACCAAAAAGCCGTGAAGCTAAAGAAGCTTGGTGTGGTAGCCATGGAAGCAATTGACCCTACAGCAAAAATGCATTGTGAAATCCTCAGAAACAACCCAGTGAGAGTTCCAGGCGTCCCAGGGAAATCCTTCATTTTCCTCTCCAAAATTGTAAAGATAAATCTTTGGATTCTCACAACAAAATACGCATCTTAAGATTTAACCCAAATGCAGGACAGACCACGAGTCTAAAACTTCCAATACCTACTTCCCTCTCCATATACACACGAAACAAAGATGGGGAAAAAAAAATTGACACAAATCGAAATTCCAATCCGTGTGACCAATAGAAAAAGGTAAGGTCTCAAAGCGGAAAAAGGAGAACCAGACAAGATGATTTTGGAGAGGGAAGGAAAGAAAAAGACGATGTGACCGAATAAATGAATCAGATAACGATTTGCTCGCGAATTGCATCCACCACCACCACCAGAGAAAATCACAAACAGTCACGAGTGTGACTAAACAGCGACCTTATCGCCATTGTTGTTGCTTGCGTGTTTGTCCTGATACAGTGAAAGGGAAAGGGAAGGCTCACCCCAAGCATTCATCATGAAAGTGGCCAGGCGCACATAAAGTTTGATAGGATTGGACCCACGGGATTACAGCTGGAATGATCCTCCTCATTAATCTAACCGCATTCAATCAATATTAAAATAACACTCCTCGGGTGCCATCTTTGGATAAGCTAATCTCACATGGACAAGAGTTATATTTTTTTTCCTTTTGTTTATTATACTTAATTCTTTCTCATCTCTTTTTTTCGAATATTTTTCATCCTCTTAGTAAATAAAAATATATTTTTACATATTTATTTTTTAATCAATTTTAACCGAATGTTTTATCAACATAATTTCATTATTTGTATTTTATATATATGAATAAGTATAATTTAATTAAGATTTAAAATGCAAATTTGTTGAAATGAAGGGGCAAATTACCTATTATAATATAAAAAAACAGCAAACACCATAATAAAATTTTAAGTACAAAAATACACAGACAATTTAGAACGGGACAAGAATGTCATTTTCATTAATTTTTTCAAACGTCTATTGCTTTTCTTTTCCTGTGGGCCCCACTTATTATAGGCTAGAGTCTCACGCGCGCGCACTCTCCTCCATTACTCCTCCCCGTCTCTCTCTTACCGAGTCCACGTTACGCGCTCCGCTAATATATGAAACCAGAAGCTCATCTTTGAAACCACGTCGTCGATATTAGAGTGACCAATCTTAGCCATTAACGGTAGAATGATCAACGCATCTACTTTAACTGGGGACTTTAGGGATTTTTGCTTCGCTCTGACCCAGCATTCTCAAGATGTTGACGGGCCACACGACAACGATGGGGGAGAGATGCGAACGGCTATGAAGCTCTAGTGATTGATGCACGGTGGCCTCAGGCGATTGACATCTGTATTTGTAATGTTAATAGAACTCGGTTTCTTCATGAATTTGTGTACAAACGTAGCATGAATTTTCTCATTTGCTTTCCCATCGCGTCTATTTTCTCTAAGGCTCTATCGTTCTAAATTGAATAGGATTGTTTTTTGGTTTCAATTTCTTGGTAAGAAAATCCAAATGAGTGGGATTATTGCAATATTCACTCCTCCTCCTCTACTATTCTGTTCAATTACTTCTTCCTCTCTGCTATTCCTATTAAGCTCGGTATATACTGTGACTAAATAAGGTTACTTCCTGTGTAAATAATGCCATATTTTGGTTTTGCTGGAATGCCTGTAGAATATATTTTGTGAGGTATTGTCCTTGGCTAATGATTAAATTCCCTTAACAAGTCTTGAACAACATTTTTCTTCAATGACAAAAATTCATAAATTGATTGAATGAATGGCTACCTAATAACATGGGATTAACATGGCTACCTTGTATGCTTTGACATGATTCATTCGTAAGGCTTGTTTGTTTAGCAATGGGAAATTTTTGATGAACTAACTACCTTACCTTGGCCATGGATGGATACAGGGAGAGAGGATGAGAGGGAAAAGAAAGAGAGAGGAAGGGAAGAGTGACAGAGGAGACAGTGCGTGCATGGGACCTCAACCTGCAAGCGTCCGCATTCAGTGCTCATCAGGTGCTCATCACATGATGAGCAATTTGGGCCGTTCAGATCTAATCTTAAAGAATGATAGTTAAGATATTATCTTTATTTTTTATCCTATACCTATTAAAATAATTATTTTAAAAAATAAAATTAAAATTAAACTGATGAGCATTGGGTGCTCATTAGTTTTGATGAGCACCCAATGCAAATCCCAACCTGGAATAAGTGGGACCTACAGGAGAAAAAAAGTAACAGACGTTTCAGAGAATAAATGACATTTTTGTCCTACTTTGAAATGCCCATCTATATTTTTACATCCAAAATTTTATTATGGTGCCTGGTACTCTTTTTTTTATATTAGAATGGGTAAATTTGTCCATTTGCCCAATTTGTTTTAAGAGCTTGCACTTAGGAATGCCAAGTATTCTGAAATATTTTGAACTCAATATCACCCCGAAAGTTTTCAAATCATAACAATGTTAACCCAATTATTATTTAAGTTTGACTATTAGTTGACTAAATATGACAAGTTGGAAGGTCCAATTGTCATCCATGTCATTGGGTTAAAATACAAATTTGTCTCGAAAGTTTTTATTTGTAGGTGTCGGGTATCCAAAATTTTTTGGGTTCAATATTGCCACGGAAGTTTCCAAATCATGACAACACGAGATTTAATTAATCATGATTTTGTGAGAAATAAACACATCCTTCATTACGATTCTCTTTTCTTCCTTTCATGATTTTATTTTGCTTTATCATTATCTATGTCAGAGAGATTAAGGGGAGAGTAACAGAGGAGATGGTGCGTGCATGGGACTCCAGCCTGGAATAGGTGGGACCTACAAGAGAAAAAACGTAACAGACGTTTGGGAGAATTAACGGAAGTGATATTTTTGTCCTGTTTTGAAATGTCTACACGTATTTTTGCATCTAAAATTTTATTATATTGCCTAGTACTTTTTTTTTTTAAATTTGCCTATTTGCCCAATTTGTTTTAAAAACTTGTACCTAAAAATGTTAAGTATTCTGAAATATTTTTAACTCAATGTTAAGTTTGATTATTAGTTAACTACATACGCTCAGTTGGCAGAGTGAATAGTGATGAAGAAGTAGCAGATGGAGGAGGAGCTCATGTTCACTGATGAGCATTGAAGATGAATATTCAATTACAAGATGTAAAGCACGCTGAGGGGGATTGCCCGGAACAAGGCTACTCGCAATCCTCCATTACCATGCTTTAAAGGAGCCGAATTAGGCGGGGTGCCTCTTTGATTTTCTATTTGTCACACAAGATGTTTCTTCTTCTTTTTCTTCAATGTTCACTCTGTTGGCTAAGTATATTTGGTTAGTTAATGGCCAAACTTAACCTAAATAATAGCTGAAATGACTATTACAATTTGGAAACTTGTTAGGCAACACTTCTTAACCTTATAGGGCAAATTTGCACATTGACCAAAAAAAATAATGTAGATGACATGTGGACTTGCTAGCTTGGCATTTTTGATTAACTAATAGCCAAATTTAACCTAAATAACGGTGAGAGCAATGTTGCTATAATTTGTGAATTTTCAGGACGGTATTGAACCAAAAAAAAAAACTTTTAAATATTTAGTGCTTCTGAATAAAAACTTTTGGAACAAATTTATACCTTAACTCTTTAATTAAGATATACAAATTTATATAAGCATGAGACAGTAATATTTAAATAGAAATTAATCTACAAGTAAATGAAATATTTATACATGAATTTCAATTGATTGGTATATATAGATATAGGTACTTTTTATTTTTCCCAAAGATATGTAACAATACTTAAATATGAATTGTACTATGTAGGTGTGTACCATAAAACAACATGTTATGAACGAGCCATGCGGATGATGTTTAATTAATCATGATTTTGCTAGAAATAAACACATCCTTCGTTACGATTCTCTTTTCTTCCTTTCATGATTTTATTTTGCTTTAATGAAACAACATCATTATCTATGTCGTAGTGCTCAAAACAAACAAAAATTAAAGATGTTTATTAGTTTGATTTGTTTAAAATTAAACCTATATCATTTAATTTTTATTTTAAAACTTTTTATTCTTAATCATTTTGTTAGAAAATAAATAAGAATTTAGAGAGACACGAGATTCGGTTTCGGAGTGGTTTGCCAGGTGTACTCACACAAAGAATCAACATTAGCCACTGGAGATATATTCTATATATTCATGATACTCGTTCGGTCCTTAATATAGAACTCAATTGTTAAGTTAGTTTTGATCTTAAGGGAGTGTTTGGCATTCTGAAAACCGCAGTTTCAAAAGTAATTTTCCGCAAAACGAGGTAACCTCCTCCACATATTTACTTCGTAATCCGTAAAAACACTTTTGAAACCATGGTTTGGTTTCTATCCAAATACCCCCTAAATATAAGACCCATTTCTCATATTTATCAATTTTCTCCAAATTACCCCTATGGATACTTCCTCAATCATAATCAAGTAGAAGAGGGAGATGGGGTATTAAGAAAGATGATTCTGGTGTTTTAAGAAAAACGTGTCACATTTCTTATAATTAACTAACTTATCTAACTTCCTTAATCTAATCAAATTAGTTAAATGGGTCTTATATTAAGGACCGGAAGAGCATAAAATATCATACATTTAATTTTATGCGCCTTTTGAATAATGAATCAGTTTGGATATTAGGAATATCTTTTAACCACTTATAAAATATAGTTGAGTTAAATAAGATATCTTGGATTCAGATAAGATCAATTCAAATAGGATCCTTTTATTTATTCTAAACTAATTTAATTGATATTAAACTAAATACTCTTTAATGTAATATTTAATTAATCAAGAACACTCAATGAAATTATTAACCCTATGTTTGCAATGAATAGAATAGAGAGGAGGGAAAGAAAAATTTTAATGAGTTTAATTTTTAAAAAATTGAAGAAGTAGGATTATAAAATTTTAATAAAAAGAAGATAATTAATCCTATTATTTTAATTTTCTAAATCAAACTCATTAAAAATTTTCCTTCTTTCTCCTCTATCTGTCCAAATATTTGATTATCGACCATACTTGATGAGATAAGGCTTACTGTTATTGTTATTATTTCAGCCAAATAGTCTTATTAAATATTTTAGCTTATCAAGAACGAATCTGAAATCCATCACATTGTCATACATTATATTGGATTAAGATTTATCTATTGAAGCATTTTTTTTTTCAAGTATATCCAACAACCTAAAATATACTAAAGAATATTTTAGAACGCTTGATGCACGTTTATTTTAATGGACTTTTTGATGAGTTAAAGACAATGTTAAAATTGCTCATGAAAAAAATACTTTAAATACACAATTGCTCCTGAAAAATTACTTCAAGAACAAAATTGTTATCATAAAATATTCAAAGGTACCAAACACACATGAAAAAAATACTTCAAAATGTTGAATTAATCACAAAATACTTTAGGATAATAGACATATCTTAAAAAAAATACTTCAATCTATTTAGAGAGAGAGAATGATAAGTGATTCTCATGTACATCTCTTCACACTTCTTTATCACATCCATTCTGTAATTACAAAAAGATACAAGTAACTTTAAAGTTGAAGACAAGAGCAAGGGAGTGTTTGGTGACTCCCAAAAACACTTAAAAAAGTGTTTTCACATAAATCAAAATAAAATTTTTCTCACATACTTATTTCATATATTGTAAAATCACTTTTACCAAATTAATCCAAACACCCTCTTAATCATAACTTGAAGTGAGAGAGAGCAGAATAGCCATCAAGTCCCTTGTTATCATAGTAAGCAATGAAGTCTTGGAGTGAAGTATGGCTATAGAGAGGAGGCTTATGTGGTGATAATAATTCCTTGATAGGCCCATAAGTCCTTGTTGTTGGATGGGTATGAAGAGTGAAAAAGCATGCAACTGAGACTCTTGGCCCTTCCACATTTGCCAAAACTCGATGTTCAACACTCTTCAATCTGTCATTCGACATAAGCTGCGACATTTATAAAGCTCTTTAAATAATCTCAGATAGAAGTTCACTCTCACTCAAACTTTATGGTTTCCATTGGGTTTATAAAGTTAACATTAGATCAATGGAGCATGATAAACAAAAAGGAAATGGAAAATAGGGAAAATTATTATTTTTTGTTCCTTGTAGTTTTGCTTCGAATTGTATAATTCAATCCTTGAACTTTAACTTGATACAACTTAATTGTTATAGTTTTTATTACTCTATTGAAACTGAATTCCTAAACTTTAACTTGATACAATTCGATCCCTATAATTTTAACCATTTAGAACATAAGTTTTTTAAGTTTAAAAATAGTTTAGTCATTATAATTTTATTTTCTAAAATGTAGCTACGGACCAAAATTTTAAAGACTTTAGAGGCTAGGTTGCACAAGTCAAAGTTTAAAAAATAAATTTCAACAAAGTCAAAACTATAAGAACCAAATAAATTGATTGAGTTGCAGTCAATTCTAAACTAATAATGCAATTTTATGTCACAAGCATGCAAACTTTTGTTCTGCTCACACATAAAAGAAACTTCAAGAAAAAGCTTCACAAAAAGTCATGCACATAACATTTCTGAGGCAAAACTCTGAGGTTTTAAAGCTTTTTCATCACTAATGTCTATATAATAATGCTGCAGCATCTACTCTTCTTCTAATACATTTATATTTCTAACTCATTTATTGTCCAAACACACATATATGAAACTGACCTGTAAGAGATCTCCAATATTCACAACTAGAGCTCCTGGAAGAGGAGGAACATCAATCCATTGATTGTGGCACAAAACTTGAAGTCCACCAATATGGTCTTGAAGGAGGATGGTGAGGAAGTCAGGATCTGAGTGTTTGGTGGTGCCCATGGTGAGCTCAGGCTGAGGACATGGCGGATAATAATGGCTCAGAAGACAATGCCCTTTTGCACAATCCATGCTCTTAAGATAGTCTGCCTTTAGTCCAAGTGACTCTGATAATAACTCAAACAAAACGTTCCCCAGTGCCGCAATTTGCTTTGAGTACTCCATTGTCACATCCCTGCAAATTAATTTGTTTTCACTCATCAACATCCTCTCTTTAATTATCTTTTGTGGCGCATGTCATTTGATTCATGTTTCAAAATGATTTTATTTTAGCGTTAGGCTTCTCGGAGGGAGAAAGGAAATAGATAGGCGATCTCTACTCAGAGATGTAGGGTCCATATGGCCGCGTCTTTCTCTCTTTGAGAAGCATGTATATTCATGCTAAAATTTTAATGAGGTGGTTTAAAAATAGAATTAAAAAAACTTTTTCTGTGTGCCTTATAAATAGAACTATAAGAGTAGTAATTAGCTGAATTACTTCCTGCCAAACTAAATTAACCTTCAATAGATGTATTGCTATATTGATTATTTTCTTAAACCCACAACATACACAAAGCTTGAACCCAAATTCAATTAATTAAGCAAAGTGAGATCTACTGATTAAATATATAGTAGGTTTCCCAAAAGGTAACAATTAACTAACTTCCCCATATACTTACCCAAAAAAAAAAAAAACCATTTTGCAGGTACTTACAGTTTTCCTCAATTTTTAATTTGGTACCTCTACGTCTTTTTTGTTCTTTTTTCAAAATCCTTCAACTTTTCTCCGTCAGCATTGTTACCCCCTCTAGTTCAGAAAAACCTCTTAAGGGCTAAGAGTATTAAACGGTGTTAAAATAGAGAAACCTTCATCAATCATTTGCAGAGGAATTTTCTTCGAGGGCCAAGGCGATGTGCTTCCATGGAGTCCATGGATTTTTGTGACTAAGGGTTTGAGGGAGGATGAATCTTCTTATTTGTTTCGTTCGAGGGAATCGACTTCTACCATTCAATTTACTTCTCTGGTAGCCACATCTGTTCTCCGATTTGCTTGTTCCCCATCAAAAAGTGCTTTCTATTCAAAGAGGTGAGCTAATGTAGGTGCAATTTGGACTTCAATTCCAAAGTCTATGAACTTTTGTTCACTTCTTTTGTTTACGGTTTATCTACTGATGATTTTCTACAATATTAGTTTAATTTTATTTTCTTCATCCTACATGTTAGACGTTTGAAGTCTGAACCAATTTTTAGTAATTGTGGGTCATCCTATTTCTTTCTGGCATTCTAGCTTTTTCTTCCATTATATTGTAGCTATACTGAGGTTTGTTGTCACCACAATGCATTTTCCCGTGATTGTAGCTTGGTGATGGTCTTCTATTAAGCTCAATGAGTTATAGTTTTTTGTTAAAAATGTGATGTATAGTCGGAGATTTCATGTGTGATTTGTGAACGTTTCTTTAGAACATAAAACTATGGAAATAGCATGGTTGTCAAGTTTCAAGTGTTTTCTAAAAGAATGGTGGAAAGGTCATTGAATCAGCCATTATAGCAGTTTTTCACATCTCTAATACTTGCCACTATAGACTGACCCAACTCGAAATCCTTGCTCAATCCCAGAAGAGAATGTGTTGTGGTTGCTTGCAATGATCACAAAACAGACGAGAAGACACTACTGCACAGTCACGTGTTTGTGTTTCTACGTCTTCAGTTTTTTTCCCTCCTCTTTTTTACTTTAAGGCCGTTCAATATTCCATTGGCTCTTGAGAGGATTTCATGAACTAGAGGGGGTGACAATGCTAACAGAGAAAAGTTGAAGGATTTTAAAAAAGAAAAAAAAACAGAAGATGTACCAAATTAAAAATTCAGGAGAACTACGAGTACCTGCAAAATGATTTTTCCAAAAAACAAAATTAACTTCCCCATGTTTCCATGGGACTTGAATCCGCGAGTTCAAAATTACCTACAGACCAAAGGCAATTCTTGAGGATCAAGAGGTTCAGGAGCCATCACACAAAACAAAGTGTCCCTCCAATTAGCATACTTGGACTGATACAAATCGAAGTTGCTGCTGAATTTCACCCTCCTCTTCTCTTCCCTAGTGTAGTACTCCATCTTCACCTCTTTTGGCAGCTCGTGGAACACACGCGCCGCCGCCAGCATCTCCTGCAGCAACTTCATGGGTATCCCGTGATTCACCACCTGGAAAAACCCCACTGTCTCGGCAGCACACCTGACTTTGCCAACGACATCATCATCAGCATGATCCCCTCCGGTGGCGACTATGTCTTTGAGGTCTATCACCGGAATCTCGAACTGGGTCTGACCTCTTTCACTCCCGAGACCTTCGTCGCCGGCAATCTCCTCCGGCGGCCGTATGAAAATTCGAGGGATCTTCGTGATCCCTGATTCAACCACGCCTTTAACACCGGATTTAGATTCGTCGAAGGCCTTCAGTTCTTGCAAACGATCGTAGGTGTTGGAGCTCCCCATACTGCAAACGATCGTAGGTTGATTGATGATTACGAAGAGCTCAATATCGATCAGCTATTTCATAATTTCACTTAGTTTATTAGCATTGATTTCATTGAAGTTCACGCTTTTCTGTTTTCTGTGTTGGGTGTGATGTTGCGGTCAGAGATGGAACGATGATGATATTGAAGACACTTGCGCAGCTGCATTGTATAATTTTGAGAGGCTGAAATGTGAATTCGGTTTGAAAGTTTTTACTGATTAGTATTAAAAAATTTTGAATGCAAATTTATTGAGAAAATTTAAAATCATAACAATAATACTCCTAACATTAAATAACAGCTAACATCATTCTTTTAATAACTAATTTTAGTTTTTTGATGTATGGACAATAAATTTTCTATTTAAGTTGCACCTTAATTTAATTTTATATTTTACATTCTCTTTTTTCAAAATTATAATATTTTTTTATGAAATACCATATTAAAAAATAATTTTGAGAAAATATAAATTTAATTAAATTCACTTAAAATTAAAGATCAAAATTCAAATTCAAGTCTACCATTTTAATAATAAATTCTTTTAATATTGTCATAAATATATATATTGATGTCTCTAAAACACTCTCTCTCTTTTTTATGTTGCAAAAACACTCCCTTTTTTCTTTTTTAGGTGAAACAAGGATATCCCCAAGTCATATTAGATTTGAGACTAATTCTTTTTGGATCTAGAGAGGTTAAGGAATAGCTTACCCAACAAGTGTGCTTTTCGGGATTTGAACTTATGTTCTCCTCCTTACAGGAGTGAGGCGGCTACCACCACACTCTCTTTTTTTTCTATTATCTCTAAAACGCTCACTTAATCATTCACATATAGCATTAATTAATAAAAACTCTCTCTAATAGGTATAATTAAGATAATGTTTGAAAAAATTTCTTAAAAAGATACTTGAATAACCCAAATTTTTATTTGGGTTATTAAATTTGTCAAACCCTTAATTTGGTTAAATGACCCAAAAATAAATTTTAAAATTTTATGAAACAACTTTAGTACCTATTTCATCATAAATCAAAAGAAAATTATAAATCAACATGTTCCATTTTACTGTTAACACATTTTAATTCTAAATTAATAATTTTTTGTCTCCATAATATACTTGTAATAATTTTTTAATAAAATTTGATCAAAATAAAATATCAAAAATAAATAATTTTAATTACATAGTTAACATGTTTTAGTTTTAAATTAACAATTTTGTATTCCCATAACACTTGCAATAAGCCTTTGAATAAAATTTGATCACAATGTAACATTAAAAAGTAATACATTATATTTCATAATTAACATGTTTCAATTCTAAATTAACAATTTTCTATCTCCAAAATTCAGTGACCCAAATAAGAGATTGAGTTATTTAAGTATCTTTTAAATAAATTTTTCCATTGTCTTTTAATAAAAAATAATAAATTTATAAAATAAAATGAATTAATATTTTATATTTAATATCGAAGTAAAATTTTCAGTTAGTAAAAATTTTTAAATAAAATCATCCAACCCTTCTTGCAAAATGTCACATAGGCTAGATTAGGTGATATGATTAATTTGGTCTAAGTCAATTGTTTAAGGATGGGAAAATAAATAAAAGGAGAATTATAATGAGATCCAAAAAAATAATTAATAAAAATTCCAAATAACAATTTAAGTAGCATGTAATAACAAGTTCTAGAATAAAAAATGACCATGGACTTATTTTGTAATTATTATTTTTTTATTGAGACCTCATTATAATTTTTTTTATAAATAAATACTCCACCAAATCAACGTCCCAATGGGAAGAGAACTTGCAGTTGGCGAGTTGCATCAAAATTATAAAATCCCTATCTTTCCTTTTGGGGTCAAAAAACTCTTTTCTTTCAAAAAAGAAAAATTATAAAATGTTTAAGTGGCCAAGTATTACTCAACTAATCTATATTTTATTAAAAAAATGATAAAATTATACATATCTCTGCCTCATGCTTTTCTTCAAAGCATGCTCTGTTTGACCGATTTGTATGCGTTTTACTATTGGTAAAAGGCTGCGGATTATTTAGAATAACGATAACTAATTTAAATTTAAATATTTTTGCCAAAAATTAAATTTAAATATTATCTGTTAGAAATAAATTAATTCGCGTGGTTTGAACTGCCCCAGTCTTTTGATAAAAAAGCCAATTTTTTTGGTTTCAGAGTTTAAAATATAAAGTACTTTTGTATTAAGATATAGAATGCATTTAATTAATTTCATTTTAATCCCTTGTGATTATAAACTGTATTTTTAGTCATTCCATCTTAATACCTTTAGTTTTATCTAACTAAAAATAATGGTTACTTGTTTTGATGGCATTATTATTTGCTTAGTCAATTATTATTATTCATCACTGTAATACTATAATCATTTATAATTAAATTTGTGATTGTACCAACAAATTTTATGAAAATAGTAGTCATTCGCTTAGATGGCATCATCATTTGTTAATTAATTTTCTTATTGCTGGGTTATTTTAGTTGTTTCGTATATTTTAAACTTTAATAATTATCTTATATATTATTTTACATTATATTATTAAGTAGTTTCATGTATGTATTTTACTGATTTGGATTTTGTATATTTCAGAAACATTTATTTATTTTTCTTATTTTTTATTTGAAATTAGAATAATTTTAAATTAGGAAAAAAATTTGGGATCTATATTTTTCTTCTCATGATTAAATCCTTGAATTTTGTTTTCCTAGTATTGTTAGTTTTTGTAACTTTAATCTGTTAGTGGCAATCTCATCCAAGAGGGGGTGAATTGGGTGAGTTATAAAAATTTATGAAATTAAAACAAAGAACTATTGGAAACAAAGAGTGTGAGTTTAGAATGATTTCACCGTAGAGAGGAAGACATAAGATTTATACTGGTTCGGTCTCAACCACTTCTCAGTACAGTAATTGAAACTCTCAATCACTCCCCCTTACTTCCCGTAAGGTTACAGCTCCACTCAAGAGTCCACACCCTTGAGCATCACACAAACGTGATTAATGAGTAGTAAATAAACTATCTTACAAAGTGAATAAATGATAATCACTGACGCTCGGTGTTATGGAAGAACAGAGTATTGAATGCAACAGTAAAAATCAACAGAGAATAGCTCGCATATTCAATCTGTTCATTTAATGCTTCTTCACGCCTTTTATAGTTGAGGTCATTTAGTAACCGTTAGACGGAAGAGCTTCTAGCCATTGTGAGTCCGGTTGCGTGTTTTTCCAGTTATAACGGTTTCCGCCATTAATGCTTCTAACAAGGTAGGTTACAGGCTACTTGGACAACCGTTGGGATTTTCTTTGTAATCTGCAAAAATATATTAATTCAATAAGTTTTTTCTTCGTAGAATAAGATCAAGAGTAGATCCGAACAACTGATAATCGAATATTCATAGTTTATGGTTAGAATCAATCAGTTGTCAGATGCACTTGGTAGTAACTGAACGTGCTTATCGAAGTGATGTTCGATTATTACTTGATCGATCAGGTTATCGATTATTCTGAGTGAAGACTTTTGAACCAGAGAACTAAGATTATTAATCAAGTGATGGATCAATGGTTTATCGATCAGGTGATCGATAAAAGGAAATAGTGATATCATACTGCGATGCATAGACAAAGAAGATCAAGGTTGCTTTTGATTTTGACACTCTTTAAATAGTGAAACAAGACATTTATGAAGGCTAAGAAAAACTCGAATGAAATATATGATAAATTTTGAGAAACATCGAGACTTAAGATTTAAACTAAAATTGCCTCATGATCGAACAAGTGATCGAACACTTGTTGATCGATCAGGTTATCACTAAATAGAGTGTTATAGAAATGACTTTTGAAACACTAATTATCGAATACTTTATCGATAAATAGATGATGGATAACCTTATCGATAAACAGTAGGCAAAAGTATATTTTGTGAAAGCACAGACTATGTAAGTTGATCGAATAGATGATCGATAAAGGGTTGATTGATAATGTTATCGATAAAGAGGTCTTTTCTTGTAAAACAAAAGAGCTGATTTATTGATCAGGTTATGTGAAAACAAAGTAAACATGAAGGGTGGTTATCGATAATATTATCGATAATCTAATTATCGATCCGATGATCGAAGAGCCACGATGTGACAAAGATATGTTGATTATCGATCATGTGATCGATAATGCTCTTATCGATCAGGTGATCGATAATCACTGAAATAAATTCCTGCACGAAAAGTTATGAGGCAATGTTCGATCATATTATCGATAAATGGCTGATCGATAAGGTGATCGATAAATGGCGATAAAAGCAAAACATAGAATGAGTAAAGTGCATTACCATTTATCTGTCTTCTCATCGATAATTGGTTTATCGATCACACCTATTAAATTTGAATTCCAATTATCAATCAAGTGATCGATAATTTATCCTAGATTTTCATATGCAACTAAGAATGATCGATCAAATGATCGATCAACACATTATCTAACACGTTATCGATCAAAGTTTCTGCTGAGTTTACTTAATTAAACAGAGTTATTATCTATCAGCTTATCGATAAAACCTTGATCGATCAGATGATCGATCAACATGCTGAATCACAAACTACTCACTTTGTTATTATCAAAACCTTAATCCTAACATAATCTATTAGTATTGTTATTTGTTAGCTTTTACACAAGTTGAATTTTAATTTGGTATCTATATATTTCTTCTTGTAATTAAATCCTTGAATTTTGTTTTATTAGTATTGTTACTCCTTTGATTTTATTTATAAGACACTTCCAGTATGTTTCGCACAGCCCAAGAAAAATAATAAATTTCTTTAACTTTCATTTAAAATTTAACAACTTTACAACTTTATTTCTATTTAATATATATTATACCTCATATAAATAAAGTCAACACAATAATAAATGAGAGGTAAAATTGTACATTCATAAAACAAATTTATCTTAATATTCTATAAATAGGATCAAAAAATATTTTCTTTCTACCCTATAAATAAGACCAGAGGAGTAGCTTCTATAAAAAGATTAAAAGAAATTGAGAAAATCATGTGATTTAATTAAGAGGGGGAAAACTACTATTAATGCTGAATTAAAAATTGAGAAAAAATATAAGAAAATGATAATAAATGATATTACCTCCAGTCTTAATTATAAGAACTCATTTATAGTCTATGAAAGAGATACTATAATTAGGACTGGAGGTAATATTTCAATTCAAAAATCCTAAATAGTCACGTCAATAAGAGAAATTTCATTTCAGTCACATATGACTAAGTGAAAATTTTCAAATTTATTAAAATAACCATATTGTCTTTATGTTATTTGTGCTTATTCTATGAAAATCTTTCAAAAATATGTGGTTAATTACATTACAAGACTTGATAATACTATTACATGATTTGTTAATCATATTATAAAGTTGAAAAATTTGCAATTTATTAAGCATTCAAAATTTTTTCAATACTAAAATATCTCTCAAATCACGCGATGAATAATATTGTTAGAGTTATTAATATTATTAGAAGAGCTATTAACCATGCCACTAAAGCTAGAAAAATCCTACTTTTCACAATTTTCTAGAGAATAGGTTGGTAACTGTATTATCAAATTTGTTAATATTGTTACATGACTTGTTAACTACATTATAGGAGTTGAAAATTTCTCAATTCATTAAGCACTTAAAAATCTCTCAAAGTCAAAATACCTCTTAGATTATGTGGTGAATAATATCATTAGAGCTGTTAATATCATTACAAGAGCTGTTAACCATATGACTGAAGTTAGAAAAATCTTATGTTCACAATTTCTTGAAAAATAGGTTGCTAATTGCTTTACCAAATTTGTTAATATCGTTACATAACTTATCAACTATATTACAAAAGTTGAAAATTTTCTAATTTATTAGGCATTCAAAAAACTCTTAAAGTCAAAATACTTCTCAAATCACATGATAAATAGTGTTATTAGAATTATTAATATCATTACAACAATTGATAATTGAGTTACTAAGTTCAAAAAATCCAACTTTCACAATTTTCTGAAAAATAGGTTGGTAATCATATTATCAAACTTGTTAATACCATTACATGACATTGTTAATCATGAAACACATTTATATAAAAGTGAGATTTTTTTCTATTTTAGTAACACGGTTAACAATTTTTATAACGATATTACCAACTGAAATAACACAATTTACATTATCTTAGAGATGTTTTGGCTTTGAAAGATTTTTTAGTGCCTAATGAATTGTGAATTTATCAATTTTTGTAACATGGCTAACAAGCCATGTAACACTATTAACAAGTTTGGTAACATAATTAACAATATTTCTATGGAATAAGCACAAATGACACAAGGATAATATAGTTATATAAGCAAATTACAAAATTTCTCTTTAATTATATATGACTAAAATAAAATTTCTCTTATTGAAGTGATTATTTACAATTTTTTAAATTGAAGTATCATTTTAGGGAAAATCTTAAAAAAATATTATTGAATTTCAAAATTTCAAATCCAAAATTACTATAAAAATATGTTATCATTTACTTTTCGAGTTATTTTCTTCATGTGATATAGATTCACTAGATAATATCTAGTTAGATTTTGTATGGATAATAGAAAGGGACAAAAAAAAAAAAAGAATAGATCCAAAACACAGCTCTTTATCCTCCTGTTCCAGGAGCTAGTCATTGTGCTACACTCTATTATTTAGGTGTCATCTAGTAAGTTCACATCACCATTTTTAATGTCATTAATGATATTTCAGCATATTTTAATACTGTTATATTTTTGGAGACTAATATTTTAAAACAGACTAAATTTTAAAGATTAAAATTATATATTTAAAATGTAAAGAACTAAAATCAAAATTTACCCAAATTTTAGTGATAAAAAATTATAGGGTTAAGGTGCGTTCAACACCCCGAACTATTTACCTAGGTGTGTCCAGTGGCCTAAAGTAATTTTGGGTGCATCCAGTGTCCTAAACTAATTAAAATGGTGAGTCCATATCCCAGACTAACAGAAATGTTATGTTTAACCGTTACTTTCCTGACTCAGCTTAAAATTGACCCTAGATATTCTACATGGCAAACACATAGACACCCGATGTGTATTATTTTTACTCAAAATTCAATTTATTTAGAAGAAGAGGAAGGAAATAAATTCAATTTTGAGTGAGAATAATACACATTAAATGTCTATATATCTATCATTTAGAATATTTGCGGTCAACTTTAAGCTGAATCAGAAAAGTAACAGTTAAACATAACATTTCTGTGAATCTGGATATGGATGCACCATTTTAATTAATTTAAAATACTAGATGCATTTAAAATTATTTTAGGTCACTAGATGCACCTGGATAAATAGTTGGTGCTGGGCACACCTTAACCCAAAATTATATTAACACAAAATAATATAAAGAAGACGTGAGCCTCAGAAAGTGACTCGTCAGGCTGTGCCGCTGTGGACTCTGCGACTTGGTCGTATGCTTCACTGTATTAATTACTCTGCATCGAGTCACTCGCTGTTCTTTTCTCTCGCGAGGTGGTGAATCCAACCGAGCTCCGATCCAGCTCGCCATCTCTGCTCCGAAGCGAGAGAAGGAAATGGGGTTCGCTTCCTTTATGGGTCGTGTTCTGTTTGCCTCTGTCTTCATCCTCTCCGCCTGGCAGATGTATGCTGACATTTCAGATCTGTTTACTTTGGTCAATATTATTCCGATTGCTGGCGAAGACTTCGTTAATCTGTGTTTCCCCACTTTTTAACTAATTATGAATGTCTTTTTTGTCTGTTTTATTTCCTAAATCGTACTGATTTGTTTGCGGGTGTTATGACCTGATGTCTGCTTCGCAAAAAGTTGAAATATGTTTGGCCGGGTTTTTTTTTTTTTTGGGTTATTTTTTTCAAAAAGTCAACCTGAAAGCCATCGGCAACTGCTTCGATTGCACTGTGAAGTTCGATGCATCTTCTTCTAGAATTTGTTCTGGTGGTTGATTGTGTTAATGATATATTATTATTTTAATTTGGCACTGTTTCACATATTTGTAAGCCTGCGGCGATTCTCAAGTGCACTTATTGGATTTTTCTTTTTTCACTGGAGCTTTCTCCAATATGTGGAAGAGTGTTATAGTTTTTGACTGTAAGAAATGCTGTGAGCCTCTGAAGAGCTTGACTTGGTTGTTCTCCCACTGTCAGATGTAACTCGAAATTTTGGCCTTTACTTTTCAGGATTTAACGTGTAAATTGTGAAGATGAGCAGCTTGAGATACATCAAGCAGTGGGAGAGCTCATGCTCTCCAGTTGGTCAAACTCTCGTAGAATCACCCAAAATTTGAGTTGCGAATACGATGGGTTTTGCCTTGACTTTCTTTTTTGTTAATTGCTTCAATTCTGTGAGAATGTTGAGGTTTCGTTAGGCACTAAATTTGATATGAAGTTGAGTACGGTCACATGGTGAGAGATCTAATTTTCAGATTAGTTGTATGTGTCTGGAAAGAGCTGCTATGCAGTTAATGTAGAGATCAGAGAATTCACCGTTTTTCTCATTTCTTTATGGCAATCTATTGGAGAAGGAATATGAGACATTACATCATGTTATCTTAGTTATATGTATCTATGGAATATGAATTTAATCCATTATATCTTTTCTACCTCTACCTGAGAATATAGCAAAGCAGTTGAATTCCTGATAGAAATTGAAGCTTGATTATTGTTTTCTTCTAGTTCTATTTATAAGACACTTTTGTGTGATAAATTTAATGAGATGGATTATATGACCGAAAAAATTCTCTCTCTCTCTCTCCCCCCCTCTCCCTCTCACTCTTCCGTGCTCCCTGTAAATAGGGTTAGAGGAGTAAAGATATTATTAGTTCATTTCTGTTTAACATGGGTTATATGCAAGTTTGTACCTGACATAATAAAAGAAAGCTTAACTGTTATAATTAGATAGACTGTTCTCTTTAGGTGATTTCTAACAAATGAAGATTTGAGAGTGATAATGTTATCATAGCAAAATGCATTATTTTCCATTGATATAGCCTGTATGCTGCTAGGTTTAATGAATTTCATGCCTGGTGGACCTTCTGGAAAGGACTCGATGGTCCTCTCTCTTTCTTGGGGGCTAGTGCTTTGTCTCAAGTTTGAGAAGAAACATAATAGATAAGTTCGGAGCTCAAGCAGTAAAGCAAAAGGCATCTCTGGCCTTCTCTGCTTTACTAAGTTTTATTATTCTGGATTTGATTTTATGGATACTTGTTCGTTGGGGTGGTCTTTTAGCAACCTTTTCTGCCATTTGAAGTGGTTTTACCCCCCACTTCACTACTTAATGTTGGATTACTTAATTAAAGCTTATGTAGGTGTAACTTTACCAATTGACCCGCACCACGTATCTTCAGAAAAAAAATTAAAAATTCAGGCCCTAAATGTTGGATAACTTGGGGTTTTAGGTTGGGTAGTGCTTTCACTTTGCCCGGCAGCTTGTCACCTCTTTAGTTTGGTTGCTTACATATGATGTTAAGAGTGTTATCATAGCAACATGCAGTATTTTGCATTGATATAGCATGTATGTTTGTAGGTTTAATGAATTTGATGCCAGCGGTGGACCTTTTGCAAAGGAATTGATTCCTAAGCTCACTGTTATGAGAAAAAATGTGTCCTCCAAGTTGGGGATTGAGATACCAAATATTGATGTAAGGCTTTTTTTTTTTGGTCCATTGTCGTTTATAGCAATTGAATTTCATTCTAGGTAACATCAGTTTCCTTTCTGAACGAGGTGCCATGTACAGGTTCAGCATTTTGTGGCTACTATAATAGTACTGAAGGGCCTTGGAGGGATCCTTTTTGTGTTTGGCAGCGCATTTGGAGCTTTCCTACTGGTAAAACCTTGCTCTTTTGCATTAGAATTTGGATAATTTGTTATTAACTAACTTCCTAAGCATCCATTGTTTTGGTTCCGAAGCACTGTGATCAAGATTGAAATATTTGTGTTTGCTTTGTAGCTTCTGCATCAGGCACTTACCGTTCCACTTCTATATGATTTCTACAATTATAAGCCCAACAGGCGGGAATATAGTCTGCTGCTGAATGATTTCGTCCTGGTTCGTGCAAACTTGTGCTCTTTCCCGTGTTTTCCAGCTGATAATTTCTGAAGTTTGAATGACATTGTATGTTGGGTTTGTTCCTCATTGCAGAACACAGCACTTTTTGGTGCATTGCTGTTCTTTATAGGGATGAAGAACTCAATTCTCAGGAGGCAACTGAAGAAGAAGGCTCCAAAAACAAAGACAACTTAGAGCAGAGATGCATTAATGTATTCTCAAAGGACACTTTTTTGACAGCCTGCTGTGTTGCAGCATCAGATTTGTCTAAGCTAGCCTTATATCTTTTTGCCTCTTTTTCCCCTTACTTTAGCCTCTTCTAGTTTGTATTAGATGGATACTCTGATTTGTTTGAGCGACACTTTGTAGCAGAGGGCGTATAATTTGTTCCTGGATATGGTTTAGCTCCCGCATATCATTTTATTCTAATTCTATCAGTAAGTTGAGATGAGATTTGGTATTAAGTAAGGCTTATGTGGCCTGTTTGGGATCAAGTTTGGAATTATTTATTAGCATGTTTCACTTAAATCGAGACAAAATTCTTTTAACATGTTTATCTTGTATTTTGTAATCATGATTAAAAAGCTGTTTAGTGTTGGTTAGGCATTGTTTCTACTTCTCAAATCGAGGGAATGGTAAAAAAGCAGATGAGGTTGATTAAAAAAGCCAAAAAGAAAAACACCAAATAAGAAGACTTACAGATCACATAAATGGGCTGAGCCATGCCCATTCTTCGAAAAAGGGCCTACAGCCATGTTATCCGTGCAGGGAGATTGATGGCACTGTGACTCTGTGTCTACCGTATATGAAGACGGGGGCAAAGAGTTTATAGAAATTTTGTTTACGCTGAATTTTTTCATGAGAAACATTTTAAAAGAACAGGTGAATTGGGTTTGTAAGATGGAAACGAACGAATGAGATGGTTGGAATTGAATACTATACACATTGAACTCGAACCAACCAACAACGTTGGTCTCAAGAATCACAAGTCAAAGGAAGCAAATGAGTGAGGGGAATATTTGGGACTTTATAAGCAAAAAGATACTCGTAGAGATCTGAAGCATAGCCCTCTGCCTGCGTAGAAGTGGAGTGGCAACTTGCAAGTAATTAAAAGGAGCGAGGGAGGAGGAGCGTGTGTCGGAAATGGGATATGAGTCCCACATCGGGAAACTAAGAAATAAGGCAGGGACGGGTGGGGTATAAGAACAAAGAGCAGGGAATGTTATCGGGTTAAAAAGGGTCGGCTGGCTAAATATGCCACGCTCGCCCTCGATTGGCGAGTGCTGTATGGCTATCAAGACATATGGCCGACATAATTTGTGGGACCCCAAAGGGTTGGCCCGCCCGGCCGATCCTCCTTCCTTAGTTCCTAATTTTCCTCCCTCTGATAGAGGGTGACAGCTTGGCTGTGGACTCAGTCCTACTCAGGAGCTCGCTTTGCGTGGTTTAAGTACAAATAGGGATGTTAATTGCCCTAGGACTCGGGAGCCGTAAGGCTCATTATTGAAAGTACATTCGGTTATTTCATTTATAGTCTCCTACTAATTGCCTCAGGACTCCGCGGACAAGCTGAAACAAATCTTTCAAATTGATCAAAGCGTTTGGTGGTCCAAACACAACTTATTTTGTTGACACCTCAAGGCTCAGGAGCCCTGCCCTCTTCTGCAGAACCACCTTCGTCCGGCAATTGTGGGCGAGGACGTGATTTTTCATGGTTAACCTGAGGGTTGTTCTGACTAGTTGCATGCCAGGCTGTTTTTAAAAAATTAGTTGACTAATTTGAATATGTTAAAAAAATTTAATAAATTAATTATTTATAATAAATGTTTTATTTTTTTAAAAATACTCTTACTTATGTATATGTATGTTAACTAGAATTATTATTTGATAAAATATTTAACATGTGTAACTATTATAAAAATTATTTTAAAAAAATAGATAAATATAAGAGACAAAATAAATTAAAATCCTATATTTATGATCAAATTTAATGTCATATAAATTTTTATATTAAGGATAAAAAATAGTAAGTGGCAATGCAATTAGACCACTCACCACCTGTGCTCTGCATATCCAATTATCCATGCAGCAGATGCAATGCAGGCCTGCTGAAGTTTCCGCAGCAACCGGCCAGAATTTCCAACAATACAAACTTAATTGATCTTTCCAGGGGTAGGTCATTTAGCTGAATTCCCTCTTTCTCTTTTATATTTTATATATGCTTTATGCAATTTATCCAAAGAAAAACTTCTCATAAACAGCTCTAATCTTCTTGGAAAAAAAAATAACTCCTTTATTTCTTAATCAGAACCTAATTTAAGAATTGATATTGGTTCTATATGTAAAACTTATTTTATATATTTATTAATTTTTTTCAAATTAAACCTATTTATATTTTCTCAACAATAATGAAATAAGAAAGGGTGAAAAAAAATCATATTAACTAATTTAATTAACACTTATTTATTTTATCAGCAAAGCATAATACTGAAACTTACTTAACACTTACTTATTTTATCAACAAAGCATAATACTGAAACCTGTATAACAAGGATTTTTTTTTTTTTGTTCAGCCATCTGAAGTAACCTCAAACTGAAATTAACAGCGTATTTATGTTCCCACCTTATTGGATTACAGAAATTATGAATATCTAATTAAAATGATAACCATGATAATCATATCTTTGATACAATAGGCCTATGAGTTAATCCAAGAACCTCACACATTTCTGGGTACAAACTCTTCCTTAGCTCTGCATATACCTCGCCGTTCCATTTCCTCTGTGCTAATTCCTCCCCCAGCCGCACCGAAGCCTCCATCACGCTCTCTGTGCTATCGTGCGCCGAACTCACAATCCCCATCTTCACTCCCTCCGTCGCCTTCACCTTCAGGCCCCTCAACAAGATGTCGCGCAAGCCCGCCGACGACCGGATCTTCGATCTCAATCCAACGACGAAGTAATCAGGAAGCGTCATCCCGAGATCCACCTCCGGCATGTACAGAACTCCTTTATCGCTCCTCATCAGAATATAGTCATGGCTCATCGCGAGCATGAGACCAGCACCAGCGGCGTGGCCGGGTAGGGCGGCGATTGTTGGCATCGGGAGGGAGAAAAGCGCAGCGACGACCGGCTTGAAGGAAGCGACCATGTGGAGGAGCCGGTCGCGGGCGGCGGAAGGAGACCCAGCGGATTGGGCCCAGGCGAGATCGAATCCGTTGGAGAAGAATCGGCCGTGGGCGGTGGTGATGAGTACGGAGCCGGGGCTGGCTTGAGAGCGGATTTGGGAGAAGGTGGAGAGGAGGGAGGCGATGAGGGTGGAGTTGAGGCGGTGCTGGTCGTCGCCGGTGAGCGAAAGAACGAAGAGAGAACCTCGCTTCTCGAGAGTGCACATCTTGTTTTGGGGATTGAAAGAAAAAGTGAGCTCTGAATCTGAATATCACAAAGTAATAAATTTTGATTACCTGGTGATATTGCAGGGCGATGGAAAGAAGAGACGATAAGGCATTTATTATGTCATTTAAGATATCCTCCTCGGTCTTATTTATAATGTTTTACAGAACACAACGGAGGTTTTTTTTAAATTATATTTATAAGTTATTTCATTCAATTATTAAATTTTATATAGTTATTTTTTTTGAAAAAATGACACATAAAGAAGTTTAAAAATATAAAATGCCAATTTAAGAAGTTAAGAAAATATAATAATAAAGAAGGAAGTCCTTTTCAAATTAGAATTTTGAAATTCAGTAAAGTGATAAAAATGCCTTTTGTTTTTTTTTTTTTTAAAAAACCTCAACTCTTTACTGGCGGTCAACCATCAGTGCCGGGCAATGGTGTAGTGGCTGCCAGTGAAGCTTTTTTGTCACAATATATGTGTGTGTGTATATATATATATTTTGGATATGAGAAAATATGGTTTAAAGTGACGGGGTGGGATTTGATCCCACAACCCCTTGGCTATTTGGACCAACAAAAAAAAAAAAGATGACCATTGGACCATTAAAAATTTCTTAACTTTAAAATGCAAACAAAAATATAAGTTGATTTTTTTACTATGACTTCAGCCCGTGACAATAATTTACCTAAGAATAACAAGTCTTAATAGAGAAATAACAAGTCTAAATTTGATATTAACAAAGTAACTTTTCCTGATACATAACAAGAAGTAGCATGTACATTAATTAAAAATGGCCATAATTTATTTGAAAATGATACGTCTTTACTGAAAAACAACAAGTCTAAACTTGAGATTAACAATGTGTCTTTTCCTGATACATAACAAAAAAATAGCATGTACATTAATTAAAAATGACTATAATTTATTTGAAAATAACACGTCTTTACTAGAAAATGACAATAATTTATTTAGGAATATACATGTTATTTCTTGTTATCTATCAAAAAAAGTTCCTTTGTTAATATCAAGTTTAGACTTGTTATTTTCAAATAAATTATAGTCATTTTTAATTAATGTACATGTTATTTCTTGTTATATATCAGGAAAAGCCACATTGTTAATATCAAGTTTAGACTTGTCATTTTTTAGTAAAGACGTGTCATTTTCAAATAAATTATAGTCATTTTTAATTAATGTACATGCTACTTCTTGTTATGTATCAAAAAAAGTTGTTTTGTTAATTTAGACTTGTTATTTCTCAATTAGGATTTGTCATCCTCAGATAAATTATTGTCACAGGCTGAAGTCACAGTAGAAGAGTCAACTTATATTTTTGTTTGCATTATAAAGTTAAGAAATGTTTGATGGCCCAATAGTTATCTTTTTATTTGTTGGTCCAAATGGCCAAGGAGTTGTGGGATCAAATCCCACTTTTGTCACTTTGAACCATATTCTCCCATGTCCAAAAAAAAATATTGTGACAAAAAAGCTTCACTGGCAGCAACCACACCGGTGGTCGACGCCGATGCCCAGTGGTGTCTGTCAGCCACTGGCCGCCAGTGAGGGGCTTTTTTTTTTTAAAAAAAAAAGACAAGAGCATTTTTGTCATTTGACTGAATTTCAAAATTTCAATTTGGGAAAGATTTTCCTTTCTGTTATTACATTTTCTTAACTTTCCAAATTGGCATTTCACATTTTTAAACTTTTTTGTGTCATTTTCCTTTATTTTTTTAAATGAGTATATATTAAATATGAGTAAAGTATATTTGCTGCTAAAAAAAAAGAGTAAAGTATATTTTAATATAGAATTAATATAATTTTAATTTTTTTATTTGCATAAAATATGTTAGAAGGGGATTATGGGGAAAAAAAGGAGTAGAGGAATATTTCACTTAGAATCTATTTATTTAGGCGGTATTTGAATGGAAACCAAATTATAATTTTAAAAATACTTTTACGGTATAATATTCCATCTCTTATTATAAGATCCTTTTAACTAAATTATGCGGTTTAAAAAAAATAGTTAAAATTAATTAAAAGCAATTAATATGCAGCAAATGCAATTTTTTTTCCAAATATACCCCTATATATAAATGGATAAATGTGAGAGAATAATAGTGAGATAAGGAAGAAAGAGAATGTATTAAATACATTATATTAGGGGTAAAATAGGTAATATTATATTAAATATTCAGACAAACTCAAAAAAGATCTTATAAAAAGAAACAAACCTATTCAAAAAATTAAATCTTATAATAAAAAACGGAAAAAGCATACAATAAATAGTGAAAGAGTTTTTCTTGTGAAAAAGTAGTATTTTTCAAAAGTACTTTTTCATATTATCAAACACCCTCTTAAGATAATGATGACCTAATGCCTTGGAACCATAAAACCCTCTCCAATCCGATGTGTGTGTGCAAAATAAATATTACTTTCTCTTTTCAATTTTTAATATAAAAATTAATTAACTAATTTGAATATGTTAAAAAATTAGTTAATTTAGTTATTTATAATAAATAAGTGTTATTTTTACTAAAATATCTTTATTAATCAAATATATTGGTTAGAACTATCATTATTATAAGAATCACTTTGAAAAGAAAGATAAATATGATAGGCAAAGATGCAAAACGGATTAAGATCTTATATTTATGACTAAAATAAAAATAAAACAAGCTCTTATATTAAAGATCAGATAGAGTAATAGTTAATGCTTATTTGTTACTCTTTCTTTTACATAATATAAGATGTTAGAAGAAAACTGTGGCTATAAGATATTTTTAGGACAATTAATATGATTTTTTTTATTTTGACCCTATTAAATATAGGAGAGTGATGAGAGATGAGATAATAAAAGTATAACATTAAAGAAAATTTTATCTTTTTTTAGAAGGAAAATAGAAAAACATTATCATTTTAGAACACATTTAATAATTAAACTTTTATTTCTAGGCAAGAAAAAAAGTTAACTAGCTTTTTATATTTTGGACTGGGGAATAATTTGCTCCTCCAATTAATACTTAAATGTGAGTCTTAAATACTTGTTAATTATATGCATTTGAAATTTTTTAATAGAAACTCATTAACATATGAAATTACTTAAGAATAAAATGAATAAATATTAGATAGAAGATAAATTGAGATGTTATATTTAAAAGCAAATTAAATTTTCAACTAGTTTTTATATTACGAACTTAGGTATTATACAAAGTTTATGATTTGTTTTTCAATTTATGAGGTGTTTGGTATATATGCCAAAAATACTTTTTAAAAAAATTATGCAAATTGAGATAATACTTTTTTCATGTGTCTTCATATGTGATAAAATTACTTCTAAAATTATGATTGAATTGCTCTCAAACACCCCTCAACGCAATGATCACCCTTTTGTTTCCGTTTTTTCCTCTGCCTCTGCGCTAGGCATAAGACTTTGATATATTTTATTTTTCTTATTTAGCATTTTTTACAAGTTATTTTTATTAGCTAGAAACTTCTCCCTACGTACAGGGATTATTATATTTGACAATAAGATTTGATGAATAGACACAATATAAATTATTATGATATTGATATTTTAATTAATAAATATTATCACGTATTTAAAAAATTTTCATTTTCTCCTGTAATAATTGACCACCTTAATGGCCATGAAAATATTCATTTAATTTTTCAATATTGATTTTTGATTTGTAAAAAAATATTTATTGGTTGCTAAACTCTAGCTGGTTATTTTTTAAGCCAATAGAATATTATAAAATCAATCAATCACTTATCAATCAATCAATTATCAACTATCAATCATTAACTATCAACTAGAAATCTTATAATTCTGGGTCAAATTAGATCTCAAAAATTAAGGTAATTTACATATATACTTTTAAGATTATTTGTAGAAAAGCATATATAAATGGCATTAATGGGGTTATTAATGCCCTGATGTTAATTTTTTTCACTGAAAAGTACTTTAATATTATTAATCAAATTAGATTGTCAACTAAGATTATCTGACGAAGCCTAATCATCTCTGTAAACAACCAATCAAACATCAAAACAGTAAAATAATTATTTTTCAAATGCATTAATAATATATTATTTATTGGGTCATTAATATCATAATATTTTTTATGGTGTACATTAATAAGAAAATTGAATCCCCATTTGTCCCCACAAATTAAGCTCCTCTAATTCAGATCCTATTTCGAGCAATAAGAAAGTCATATTCCTATAAATAATCATTCATTTTCACATGGTTTACCAACACTTCGTTTAATTAACTTTTCCTCACCCAGCTTCATAATCCAATATCAAAACAGGTGGTGAACTTCTCTCATGATCTTATCAAGGACATTGACGGTAGCAAAGAAACATGGTGCATCATTGTTAGAATGCTAAGGAAATAGACAGTAACCAAGAAATCCCTACCCTTTGATGTCTAAAAAGTTAGTATGATTTTGTCTTACGAAAGAGTTAGTAAGTAATGATATTGTGTTGTTCATTGAAGAAAATATTTGTCATGAATTCACTTCATTTTATTCTATGCGACTAGGGTGATATGATTGAAGCTTGGGTTGCTCTCAAAAAGAAAAAATACAAAGATATGTCAAAGATTTAATAGAGGTGGGATTTACCAATTTGAGAACTTTAAGTTGTGAATAATGACAATGACAATTACAAAACTTGTGACCATCCTTACGAAATCATGTTCCATGCAATAACATTTTTTCAAGAGCATGATTTGTGAATCCACTAAATACATTTAACTTTGCTCCAAAAAACAATTAATTGTTTGGTGAGCTTTCCTTTCCCATATTGTTTTGTTGAAATAAAATCTCCATAATTGATTTTTGAATTATATCTATTTACATCCATTTCAATTTGTTCATGCAGCTATTATTCGATTCCTACAAGCATTTGGAAACTTGGTTGATTATAGAAATGAGTATGAAACAACAAAGAAATTGGCTCTCCTAATTAAATATGAAGCATCCTAATTA